AGTTTATAAACATTTTGACAGAACGGCAACGTAATGACGTCATACAAACACCAGAATGACGCCATTTCTAACATGCAATAACAATTAAACAAACGAGTGAGACGGAAAAAAAGGATTGTAGAACCACACTAAATACCGTATTTCGGTATATGCCGGACAAGGCGCTTGAATGATAAAATGCTAAAATCTTGCATTTTACCCAACGGAATGAACTCTAAGAGGTCTAATTTATCTTTTCACACCGATTTATGTATGATAATGATAATGAATGAAAAATGTAAAAATCGGCGAAAAACCAACATATTTGTCTATTTTGTGATCATGATTTCCAATTCTTTATTGAGTTAAATCCTAAACAAACACTGATGTAAGCACAATACAATCCGGTCTGAGACGTAAGTTTTTATTTTTGGAAACTGATTCTTTAGAAAATCCCTCTGTCAATCTGATGTGGTTCTGAACCGAGTAAGTCTCAAACACACGATTCGTCGGTTGAGAGTATCACACCTTATATCTGTGATTGAATAAATTAATAATTAATAAATTGTTGTAAAGTTGAATTCCAACTACAACAGCTTACATAATCATTACATAATGCTGTATAATATTACTCAAAATTTATATATAATTTTCATATAGACCTTTTTACGACGCCCGTTGCTATGAAAAAATGACCGGAAGTAGTATTTTTTCGCGCATGCGCAATTCGCGTAGGGCGAAAAAAGTCATGCTCTTCATAGAAATGAAGTAGAAATTCATAAACAATTCAGAATTTAAGGTAAAAATTAGAAAATCATATAAAATAGCTTTAAACAGAAACACACAAGATGCCTTCATAGCTTTGTGGCCAAGATTGACCAAAGAAGGCATGGAAAATACGTTTGTTTAAGAATTCCCCCTTACGATCACTGACCTGACATTGAGATTATTGTTGTAAAAATATGTGGAAATATATATATATTAGCAAATAAAGAAGTCAATGTAATTGTTGTTGAAAACGTCCATATTAAAAAAATATTTTACATATAATATATAACATTTTTATATGAATTTTATTAACATTTAAAATCGAGGTTAAATAGCATTCTGAAAAGAAAGTCGGAACACATGATATAATGCATTTTTAGCTTTCGGTTTAGCTAATTTTATCCTTTATCCAACTTGACTGAGTTGCCAAACAGAAATGTTTTATGTCTTATAATATATTTAAATAATTTTTCAAACTCTTGTGAAGTGGAATAACACACATTTTGCCATGTTCCTTGTAACACATGGAAATGCACGTCACGTAAACTATTTGTCACTTCACAAAATCAATAAACATTGATGGGATTGGTATAAATAAAAAATACTTAAATTACGATAAGTCATTTTCATAATTTTAAGTAATTAACTATGTCATGGTACTAAAACGACCAGGTTGAATGATATTGTTAAGTAGCTTGCAAATAACAACCGGTCACGTGTCAATCTGTTTGACACTTACCTACCGCCTTGCCAATCCACTTTCAAGGGAATACCAATTGTGTAATATAATGTAATACATGGGTAATAAAATGTGATCTTTAACACCCTGCTGTTAATTTAAATTACTGATGAAAAAGTCACCTTATGATACCTTGAAAAGAGGACTTTTGGTCATTGAATTATAAGTCCCGCTAATTTTATATATGTTATAAATATCAATTCACGTTAAAAGTACTTACCGCTTTAATACATCCCAAAATTTCTTTTTTCTGGGTGACATAACTTGAAATCACGCCTTTTAAGACTTTAAGCGCGCTAAATGTATGCTATCGTCATTACGCTTTTGCCCTACGCAGAATGCACATGCGCGAAATGCAACATACGTTGCTATGGAAAAATCGTACTGTAAAAAGGTCTATATATTTTTTAATGAATATTAAGGGTTTAAACTTTAACTTAGATTTAAGTTTATTGTAAAGTTTAATTATATCAACATGCTTTGTTTTATTGACATTTCATTCTTATCATTCACTAGTTTTATGTTGTACTATAATTGTATTAGGGAACTTTGTTGAACTTATTGATACACTCTTTAATAGTCGCTTAGCATAACCTAAGACTCTTTATATACAATTTATAGAGAATGGTTCTACTTTTACTTACACTAACCTGCATTATAAGTTGTAGATTTAGCATTTACATATAATTATGTTTAGTTTCTTAGTAGTATTTCGATTCTTTTGATTACTTTGTAATACTTATTCATTATTATCATCTTTTGTAGTTAATGTTTATTTGTTTCATGTTTAACTTTTCCATGAATCATAATCTATTTTAGGATAGTTATGTAAAGTACTGATAAGCCTATAGCATTTGTTAAGTAAATTCTGGTTGGCTGTATTTTACCAGTCAGATAAGTTGTTACATACAGTGCCACCTGTAGGTAGATGCTAGCTCCCTCTGGGATGCAGAAGTCCATTTAACCAGGCATCTCAGGGAATCTTCAGTTTCTGCTGCTAATTTTTGAAGAAGTAACATCTCTAAAAGCTCTCTAAGGTTAATAAACTAATTTATTTATTTATTTTATTTTAATTAATATTATTTTTTTTGTTTTAAGTTGCAGCCATCGTGAATTATCAGATCCTTATTTTTGTTCATATAGATTAAAACAGGGCTTGCTACTATTCAGAATTATTAGTTTAACAGCACACACTTTTTATATTTTCATTTATAACAGTTTAAACAACTTTCAATTGGTTTAAATCTTTTATTCACTAGTTTATTTTGATATGTTTTATGTCATATTTTTGGTTAATTACAAACAGTTTATATTATAGTACATTTTGTCAACTTGTTTAGTTTTAAGTAACTTTTAGTTAAGTGTAAATAAAAACTTAGTTCATTAAAAATATGGTTGATTTAAATTCAACATTTGTGTTTTATTTCCCTTTGCATTCAAAGGGTGGTGTCATCCTGACGATTAGATTTATCCCATTAAAGAGTACTCATTAGGTAATAAGTAACTAAAAAACAAAAAAGCTTTTAATTTTCATCACCACAACAAAATAAACAGTTACATGGTCATGATCTGTTTATTAAGGCAAAACTTACACATTCGAAAATAATAAAGAGGCAATGTGTTTGTATAAGTGGGATTATAAGTGTGTCTAACATCACGTGACTTTATTTCTTTTTCGGGAAACGCGTATTTAGATTAGTGTTATTGAAAATGATTTACTCCTTAATTGCAACTATATTTTACATGTCAAAAAAGCAAACGATCCAGGGCGAAATCTCGACGGCACAGCAGCGTAGCTCCGAGTGGGGTGGCGGGCAGGAACTGGAGAGGCAAACGCTTCACGTTAATGGGGATGCGGCTAAAACAATGAAAAAAATGAAGGTGTAAGTGGATACATTCCGGTGTCGTTTTTGTTGCATTAGTCACTCAAAAATTTTCTAATAAACATTAAACATGGGAATTAATAACACAACAGCTGCCTTATTAAGGGTTAACTTGTAAGTTCTAGGGTCGCCCCCTCTCTTAATCTGCGCCCACACCCTGAACCCGCGCCTGTAAAAAATGTTTGTTGTGTTTTTTTTTTGTTTTTTTTCCAAAAAATTTCAACAAATGAATTTTTAAGTTTTACAAGAATTATTTATTATTATTAAAACAAATCACCTACATGCATCATCGGTCAATTTCAAAAATATCTGTGGTCAAATATATTATCAATCTGAATAGTGAAAATGTTCATAATACAATTCGTGTAAGTTAAAATAAATGTCTGTATATATGTTAACAAATATCACACACGCACGCGCGCGCACACAAACAAAGTACGAACTGAGCAGCATCTTTAATTCCATTCATGAAAGTTGGACATATCCATTACATATTTTAATGTTTGTCACCCCATATTTCTCGTGCTGGACCCGCTGATAAGTACGCCTGGCTTGAATTCACATCACCCACAGACACAGTTCTGTTTCAAATATAAACAAGTTGTATGAAAATTAGAATGATCATACTCATGTTTAAATAATTTATATGTTTTATTGGCGAATGCAGTACAGACAGCAGCTCTAATTCTAACGTCATTATGGATTTTGATTTTGCTTGAACATATGTAGCGATAAGCGCACGGACAAAAACTAATCAAAGTCGGATGAATGTATGATAAACGAAACTTATAACACATATTTTCATAGACATAAAACATTTACTTTAAGAATAAAAATTAAGTTCCATAAAGAAAATACATAGAAAAGACATATTCCGGTAAATACAGCAATAGACTTTTATATGAAATATTTGTAGTTATGAAAGCAAGAAAAAAATTCTGAAAATCGTTTCCCTCGGTTTAAAATGTCTATGAAGACTCGACATTCGTTTTTGTTTCTTTTTTAGATATTGAGCTCGTATGTGAAGCTGGACCGACATTCGTTTTTGTCTCCTTTTTTTTTTTAGATATTGAGCTCGTATGTGAAGCTGGACCGACATTCGTTTTTGTCTCTTTTTTTTTTAGATATTGAGCTCGTATGTGAAGCTGGACCGACATTCGTTTTTGTCTCTTTTTTTTTTAGATATTGAGCTCGTATGTTAAGCTGGACAGACATTCGTTGTTGTCTCATTTTTAGATATTGAGCTCGTATGTGAAGCTGGACAGACATTCGTTGTTGTCTCTTTTTTTAGATATTGAGCTCGTATGTGAAGCTGGACAGACATTCGTTTTTGTCTCTTTTTAGATATTGAGTTCGTATGTGAAGCTAGACAGACATTCGTTTTTGTCCCTTTTTTAGATATTGAGCTCGTATGTGAAGCTGGACAGACATTCGTTTTTGTCTCTTTTTTAGATATAGAGTTCGTATGTGAAGCTGGACAGACATTCGTTTTTGTCCCTTTTTTGAATGTCCAGCTGGGATGTGAAGCTTGCTTGACACACATGTATGCTTTTGTCTCCTTTAATGAGTCTGTCCATGTGAGAAAAATAAAAACAATTCCTATCTTCAGTAAATTACAATATTATACTGACCGTCGATTCTTCGTGACTTTGTATTTACACACTCTCATGTTATTAATACTTGACTTTATTTCTTTTCCAATCCTTGTGACGACATCTCGCCGTTTTCTCTTCTCTCCGCCAAACTGACATTTATTCTTAGATATTGAGTGACCATTCGAACAAGCTTCATCCAGGGATTCTCCATTGTTAACATTCCATTTCTCTAAAACACGGTTGTCATTATGTAAGAAGTTTTCCTCATCTAGTAATCTATTTTTATAAAGAATTACAAGAAGTAGTATTAGATGAGTAGTCCAATCTAAAAAAAAAAATATTTCAAAAATATTTGAACCGGAAAATCCCGACATTATGCTCAATTAAACTTGGTACTGACCGAGTAGTACGGACAAGTTTTGTGACGGTCGGACAGACGACGGAGAAGTGATCTGTCGCCACTACTACCTATAGATGCGACACAAATATAATTCTTTAGACAATCAAACATTTCGAATATAAAGTAATGTAGAATATAATAGATAATTAAATAAATCTATTTTTTCATTTAGAACATTCAGGGCATAACATCTTCCAGCGAAGAATAAAAGCGTCAAACGGTTATACTTCCAGGCTAGTAACATTTAGTTAAGTTAGTTAGTTATTTAATTTAGGCAACTTTTACCAAGATGAAAAAACAACTAAATTATAGCTGTATACCTCCAACTTTTTATAAAGTCAGTATAACCATAATAGTCATTGAATGGGGACGATTGGGAGCCATTTCTGTGCCTAAAGTCATTTTTTTCTGTCTCCATCAAGGATTCCACAAAGTCCGTCAGTGTTGTGGAAATCTTTTGCAGATAAGTAAATATCAATATCCATCGTCCGTCCCCTGGAGTGTAGATTTACAATGATCACAGTTCCTATTGGTGTTATTACCTACCAAACATACACTGAGCTCATTCACGTCATAAATACAAGAACCGTACAAACACCAAGCTCAATGGCAAAATAAATAAGTTTGTTTGCTTGTTTGGGTTTTACGTCACACAGACACCGTATAGGTCATTTGGCGACGTTCCAGCTTTACTGGTGGAGGAATACCTCAGGTGCCCTTCCGTGCATTATTTCAGGCACCTGAGTATATCCACCGACGTTTCGTAAGCTAGCTGGATAGCAAATAAATAAGTAAATAAATAAAACATTAAAGGTTGGGTCAATATGTAATGCAATATTATAATTTAATGTAACAAAAGAGCAAATGTTTTACAATTTTCAGCCCTTCGGAATAATCTTCTCCTACAAAGTTTCAGACGTTTTATCCAATTTTAATGTTTCAACATAATCCCTCTTAGGTATTTTTTTCAATACCTGAAAAAATGGCCAACAGAATTCTGTTCTGTTCTTGTAGCGATGACCTGCAAGATGATTTGCGTATCTTTTCAGTCTGTAAATGAGGAAAATTTTACAGGGTCCCAAGTCTGGAGAATATGTTGGATGTTTAAGGACAATCATTCATTTTCTCGAAAAAAATTGCAGTTACTGTAGCTCCTTTGTAGATATGGTTACGTTTTCGAAGTCAACTGGCATAAAACAGTAAAACCAGCTTTCATCACAAGTCACAATATTAGAAAAACGGCGATTGTCATATTAAGGAAGCGTTTAGAGTACGTTTTCGAGAGCATTGCACTCGCTCATTCTTCTGGTAAGATATAAGGAAATGGGACATCCGTCTGGTAGTTATTCGCCTAACTGTCAAGTGATTTTTCAGAATCGTATGATATGAACATTTTGATATCCCTGCGATATGGGCTATCTTGAAAAGTCGAAGTCTGGCATCTTTCCCAATGATAATTTTGGAATATTTATCAGTAACCATGGAGCGCTTTCTACCAGCCTTACAGGCATCTTTAATTGACGCGTGCCCATTTTAAATTTATGCATCTACCTCGAAATAGTTGCATAAGATACTTCTTTGTTGCCATAAATATTACAAAATTAATATTCTTATAAAGATTTACAACATATTTTCTTAACTTATCTTGAGCTTTTATGTAAGCCCATATTCCAGAACTTTCAACTGAGCGTTTACCATCCATATTTTACATGCAGTTGCTCGTGTAAGGTATTTTTAAATTTCAATATGATTCTTAAACGGTCGACTACTCACGTGATTTTAATTTGGTAGCATTTGAAAGATAATGCTTTGAATCAAAGCATAGTTTATACAAACACAAGAATCACAATCTAAATTAGAAAATATACTTCACATTGAAATACATATTAAAAAAATCTGGAAACAAGTGATCCCTCGGAAGCATTAATCACAACAAAATTACAAGAGACTTGCAGACCCGGTTTGATTGAGTCTGTGCATGACGGATAATGAATACGTGCAACATCCCATATTAAACCACCCTGTTAAAAAATGAACGTACATCGAACTTCATTACACCTTAATTATTTGCAAATATCAATCTCAATTACAAAATAAAAAAATGGGCTTAAAACAATTGAATTATTATTACAGACATTATAAAACATAAACAGAGCCGATGTCTTTTATACATAAGGCTGTCTGATTGCTTATAGTCACACAGGCTTTAATGTTCCCGTAAGGATTTACAAGGAAGCGCAAAAAGGCATATGTTAAAATCATGTCTTAGATTTAGCACCATCAAAGAAGAGTTTTTCGGTCCCGACAACAGAGGCGTGTGATGCCAAGAATTACTTTTATTCCTTAAAACAAATTTAATGAACCTCTCCTTTCAAAATAGTACATGCAAGTTTCAGATGAAGAAAGGAAACCAATACCTTGTAACGATAATCATGGATCCGTTAAACATCAATGATTCCTCCATCATTACATTGCATGAAGTCTAATATCGTATAGTTGCCACATCTGTTAATTACAAAGACATCGGCCCCTGACCTGATGGCTACACCGCAAGCACACACTGCTCCGCCATTATTATTACAGTATCTGGCATACTCATGAACCTTTTACGTGATGTAAGCATCAAGGTATAAATTTGTTACCGAAAAGTAGTTTTTGTTGTTGAAAACAACAATTTTGTTGTAATAAATGTAAAAACCGGCCGTTCTTATGTTTAATTAGTATTGTTTTATGCATGGGCAATATCTCCCAGTGATATTCTGACCTAGAACAAAAAGTAAAAGTTAACTTTTGAAGTTGAAATATTTTGACTAAGGTATATGTGGACGAGTGTCAACGGTTGCTATCTTGTATTACCGTTATGTCTATTATTGGCCAAATATCATGCAAATAATGCTTAAAATGCATACATTACTTAATAAAATATAAATGTACACCATATGTGTTGATAATAAAAACATAGCTACTATATGAAAATCTTCGTGATAAAAATGTAATATTTTAGTCCAACTTCACGGTTTCAAAGCAATGTCAATTAAGTTTCAATTCTTATAGGCACTAATGTTTAAATAAGATTTAGCCTCAAATATATGTCAATTAAAACTTACCTCTGTCTGATATGCTTTGTTTCTATAAAACATGTGATCAGCGACCAATTGTTGCCCGAAATACCTATACACTATAAAACATGTGATCACTGACCAATTGTTGCCCGAAATACCTATACACTATAAAACATGTGATCACTGACCAATTGTTGCCCGAAATATTTATACACTATAAAACATGTGATCAGCGACCAATTGTTGCCCGAAATATCTATACATTATAAAACATGTGATCACTGACCAATTGTTGCCCGAAATACCTATACACTATAAAACATGTGATCACCGACCAATTGTTGCCCGAAATACCTATACACTATAAAACATGTGATCACTGACCAATTGTTGCCCGAAATATTTATACACTATAAAACATGTGATCAGCGACCAATTGTTGCCCGAAATATCTATACATTATAAAACATGTGATCACTGACCAATTGTTGCCCGAAATACCTATACACTATAAAACATGTGATCACCGACCAATTGTTGCCCGAAATACCTATACACTATAAAACATGTGATCACTGACCAATTGTTACCCGAAATACCTATACACTATAAAACATGTGATCACTGACCAATTGTTGCCCGAAATACCTATACACTATAAAACATGTGATCAGCGACCAATTGTTGCCCCAAATACCTATTCACCATAAAACATGTGATCAGCGACCAATTGTTGCCCGAAATACCTATACACTATAAAACATATGATCACTGACCAATTGTTGCCCGAAATACCTATACACTATAAAACATGTGATCACCGACCAATTGTTGCCCGAAATATCTATACAAACATACCTAATACAATCTAAGTCTAGTGTTGATTTAGATATATACAAATTTTATAAAGCTTATCAAATTTGAAATTATAAAATTCCTGTCTTTACATTTAAATATTTTTAGGAACTATAACGTTCCTTATTTTTAATATAACAAAGTTAAATGAAGTTCTTATACAATTCATCATCGACTCGAGCAGAATCCAACATTTAACATGAAAAGGTAAAATGTTGATTTCGGAAATCTCTGCAGATGTGTTCATACGGCGGTTATCATGGACTATTCAATGTGACATGTAAGTGACATTCCATTTAAAGCGGCGTTTTATTCGTAATTAAAGGAATACGATAAAACAATGGGCGGTACTAAATAAAATGGAATTTTTATAGAGAAATGAGACATTTTAAGCATGCATTCCAAAGACAAGACGTCAAAAGACAAATTTAAAAAGCAGGCAAAATTCAAATAAGAAATACTGGATGCACCCATCTAGGTATATAAATTAAACTAAAAGTATCACAGACAATCTTTCATGTTGAATACTTTTAAGGATAGGAAATACATGTATAACATTTCTGATTGTATGTACGGGGCGATTTTTACGAATTTTTAAATACCAGGGCTGTGCTTCATACAAAGTCCTGAGTGCATCCTAAGTCTCAGTTTATAAAACCAAATAAAGAACTCACTTAAGACCGTTGCAATAAACATTTTTATCTTTACTCAAAAATAAAGACTATAGATAAATGCATCTTCCTAGTAAGAAAAGTTAAGAAATACAATGACAGACCCTTTTATTCACAATGTACAAATGCCACTCAGCATTGCTACTCAGGAATTTTGAGTCATAGAAGTCATAAGTAAGGACATTTTCTTTGAAAGCCCAGGTACCTCATCTCTTAGTATTATAAGTTACCAATGCACACTAACCTTCCGTCCGCAGTTCGCACGTGCGGGTCAGCATGCTAGTAGCAGCGTTTGTATCTATGCAATGCCGAGTGTGTCACCTCAACCTTTATATTACATAACATAAGAATATTGTTCATCTAAACTATATGGTAAAAAACATAAACAAAAATCTTATAAGGAAAATGACATAACATACTTACAAAAAACAAATAAACAAACGATAACACACACACATACAAACACGTACGCACGCACACAAAGAAAAAAATACACACAAAACTACAAACAGCCATTTTATTGATAAATAAAAACTCTGTCTTCAAATTATTAAATAAGATTGCATTGCAGTTGCTTATCAAATAAAAGGCAAACGCAACCTTGTTTCATGCATTTACATCTACAGATGCACAAAAGTGTACCCATTTTAAAACATGTACGTTATAAAGCTTAAAAAGTAATTACTACTTTCAAAGAATTTCGACATTAAAATGTTATGATCCTTAGAATTGAATTGATTTTGATCTTACCGCAACGATTCCAATGCGCTAAAATATTTAAAGATATACAATTTTAAGGTTCTATTGAATACAAACACAGCATATTGATATTCAATTTGTTATTTTAGAATTTCATAATTTTCTACCAGTAAACTTTGCAACAAACACTGCATGTAAAGGCTGACAAATTTATTTTACCTTTTTATCTACAAACTCTGTTATTGTTAATGTGAAAGAAGTACCTCTATGTCTAGGCAAATGTTTTCATTTGTATCTTCCAACTTTGTCAGTTCAGATTTTGTTATATGTATTAGCTTGACAATTTAACCTTATCTCAGTAGTTACCAACACTAGAGGTTTTGTTTGAATCACCTCCATGTATAGGCCAACAATTTTATCTTACCTCTTTATCTACTAACTCTGTTAATACAGACTTTGTAACAAGCACATTGATGTATGAGAAAATCAATTATAGTTTACCTCTTTATTTACCAACTCTGACTTTGTTACATCCACCTCTATGTATACGCCAACAATTTTATTTTACCTCAGTAATAACAAATTTAATTAGTTCTGTATAAAGTACCTCAATGTATAGCTCGACAATTTTATCTTACCTCAGTATTTACTACTTCTGTCAGTTCAGACTTAGTTACAAGCAACTCCATGTCAAAGTTCAGTTTGTCATCGTAGTCATGATCTATTGTAGTTAATCTAAATCTATACTTGATGCTGGAGTTCCAAACATCACCTACCATCAAACTCTAAATAATGTAGAAATAGACTCATGTTCAATACAGATGTATAACTAGATAAAATATAAACTCTTTATTCTCTAGTTAATGTAGAAATTGACATATGTTCATTACAGAAAAGTCAAACATAGTACTCATCAAAGTTTGAGAAGGGTCACTTTTGTAGTCTGCAATTATTATATATTAAGTTTCCACATTGAACAGTTTATGATATATTATGGTTTCTTTTTATATAACCAATGAATTAGTCATCTAAACCGATTAATTGAACTACAACATGAGTGTAAATTGATCTTAGCGGGAAAACTTGAAAATTAGTAAACTGCTTGAACTTTGTAAAAGTAGTATTTTTCTAAAGTCTGCATGGAATAAGTTCAAAATATTGTATAGTGTCCACATATCAGTATTTCCCTTGCGTTTATATAATGTGTATAACACATACTCTTTATTATGGTTTAAACCCCTGTGACACTAAGGCGGCGTTCTCACGGCGTCAAAAGAAAATTCAGAACGCCGAGGTCAGCGCAGTATGATCGCAAACATCGCCGCAGCATCGTAGTGGATTCGCATAGAACGCCGACCAACGGCGCGTATTTTGAGCATGCTTAAAACAAACGCTGTCACTCGACGTTCTGATAAAAGCGCAGTGGGATCGCAGTAAGCACGCCGTAGTAACTCTGTAGGCATCTCCTACAACGCACAAGGGCGCCCTGAAAACCCCGAAAGGGAAAACCAATTTGGGAACCCCGGGTTTTCCCCGGGGTTTACGGGGATTTTGGGGGCGCTCACCGCACAACTTTGTGACGGCGCTTTTAAGACTTACCATTTTAGAGCGGGGAGTGGGGGAAGGGGGCCGAAAAAAACCATGGGGCCCAAAATTATTAAAAGGGATCCCAAACCAAAAAATCCCCCAAATTTAAACGCCCTGGAACTCGCAAATCGCCATATCACCGTTAAAACCCCGGGAATTCATTCATCCAAAAAAAATCACATTTTTTTTGCGAAACCGGGCGGTTTTTAAAACACCCACATCCCAAACGCCCGTAAAACGCACCCATTGTGCGAATTTTCTTTAAACCAATTCCCTTATTTTCATTATTATTTTCTGCTATTTCTTAATTTTTCTTTTGTATAATGAATCCCTTTTCCCCTCAATTCCCTTCCCTTTTTCCTAAAACCCTTTTTTTTACCAAACTTTATCTATAAAAATTAAATCTTATTTAAAAACATTTATTTCATTTTCGCAAAAGAAAAAATATTAATTATTTTAAAAAAAAATTTCTTTAAACATATTTGGGCAAAACGTAAAATCAAGAATTAAAAATTTATTTATAACCTGCAAAGAAATTTTGTGCCCACCCTCAGTAGATATGTGTAATGTTATTTCAACCCTTTAAATTTTTCGAGAAGATTTTACTGTTATTTCAAACTTTATCACGTGGTTTTTCCAGGGTTTTTTTGCTCAATTTTCCCCGGGTTTAAAGTCTAAAAGTGAAAGCTTTCCTTTGCAAAAAATCCCCCTCCAGTAATATAGTACAACCCAAATACTGTACTTGTTCCAACTCAATAATAGCTAACCATTTTTTGGGAAGTCTTCGGATTTGTCTGTAAAATCTATACCACCACATAAGATACATAAGTATGATATATATTTATCATTCTTGTAGAAGAGACATTTCTAGTTTGAAAATGTCGTCCGAGTAAAATCGTTATAACCCATAAAATGCAAGGTGTGTTAACTGGAATGCAAGTTAATCGGGAATTAGAGACTGCTTGGTTTATTGGGTTTACTTATTATGATAACAGAAAGTAATAATTTCTTTCTATGTTCTTGTCTTTATTTTTGGTTTTATTTTTTCTGGGGGTTATATTATCACGAAAAGGGGAAATTGATTTGATGCAAAGGAGAGAGACACAAAACAACATCAAAAACAACCCGGCAGTGGGACGCTTCCTCCCCCGTATAAATCATTTAGCGTACGTGTTTCGATAATCTTTCTATTACCAATTGTATTACTCTTGCCATGTATGTGTATCAGAAGATTTAATATGTCTTGTAAACCATTCATATCACATTCACACCATACGTAATTAAGTATGCCCGGAAGGAATTCATACCTAAATCAATAACTTTTTAAAGTTGTAAACAAATTTTTCATTAAATGATTATACAAATAATATCGTTGATATATTACCTTCCAACCTGCGAAAATGTTATTGCTCAATTTTTCATCTGTTATCCCATCTGCAATGACACCGCATTTCACCTGAAACGAAATGTTTTATCCTTTTATTCAAAGATACTTATATGTACCCAAAACCCTTAGTAGTTGAGTTAGTTTTATTAGGAAATGAACACAATAGCTATTTGTGAACTCTCAAGTCTTCAAAATACAGTGTACAATTTCTTAAAAGCAACACCCTTTAGGTGACAAAGACTTTGATTGTTGTTGACTGGTGTAAGAGAAGTAATATTTATTATAAATTGCTATCCTGGAACGAAATTACACTGCTGTTACAAATAATTAGTGGCTGTACAGTATGCTGCTCTGCAATTGGAATGATTCAATGTATTCATATAGTTTAAAATAATGAAGGTACAAGTTATATATTGTTGTTGTTGCTTTAATCATAACCCGGAGCACTGTACCACAACTTAACATTTAACATGGAATGTATTCAAAGTGTGGACATTTAGACAATACAAGAGTTAAACGGCCCTTTAATCGTATTTACGAACTTTAAGGAACGTATATCAAATATGTATATTTATTATTTATGGCAGATTTATAAACGGTAAAATATTTATCCCCTGATTTTATCTACCTCGTATCCAAGTCGTAATTGATTTAAAGAATCTCCGCTTAATACAAGGTCATCCGGTTTAGATAAATATCCTGTCTCACTCCATTGTGTTCCATTAATATACCTTTTTGAAAGAGATACATAGGACATTATGTCTTTTTTATATATACATAGCATTTTGTTCATTTACATACTTCTCCTTTTGTCCTTTCTTAACAACACAACGTACATTTTCAACACTAAAAACGACAAATGAAATGTTCTTTATATTAAATGTTATACTAATTTACATGAAAACTATCTATTGATTGTGCCGAGGACTACTTTGCTCTATATTAATCAGTTATATTTTAGGAAACGTTCGAACATACAAATGTATATTACATCATATGTTTAGTTGTATTCAAAGAGAAAATAGTAGAGCATCCGAGGTCCGAAAATGATTGATATGTACATAAGTAAATTCACGAAAAATGAAAATATTGAATTTGTAAATCATTGCATTGTTCTATTGTTTCGTAACCGTTTTGCCATTCCTCTTTAAAATAAAATCGTAGAAATTGAAAAATCTCAAAAATAAAAGTATCAAATCAAATAATTATGTAATGAGGTTTTAACCATGTAACTTTGTATGCAGTATCACCAGTCATGACAAATGAACATCTGAACTGAATGTATGGTCTATATATAATTCTGTTATCACTGACGCTGTTTTGTCTGTGTTTTATTTCCGCTATATTGTTGTAGTTCACTGCAAAAACATATATAATAACATTTTAGGTGAGCAATGTAAATAATCATGATTCGATTTCATATAATGACATGGACAATAACTGATTACCTTAAAAAGAAAATATATGTAACAAGATGTTTAATATATACTCTGTCTCCAAAAGAAAACAAAATTTAGATGATGCGTCGGGCTATCTATTAAGTCATTGTCATTGCTAACTTGTGAATTGATTTCCAATGCTTGGTAGCAAAATGTGCTCAATTTATAAACAATAGGGCCTAGATGGCCCTAGTTCGCTCACCTGACCAATCAAACTCATCCGAGGAATTTTTTAGACAAGCATCCTGACAAAGTTTGATGACAATTGAGTCAAACAAGTGACCACTACAGTGTTAACAAAGTTTTTTCTATATGTGGACAGCATGACCTAGTTTTTGATCCCAGGTGACGTATATTTCAACAATACCTAGAAATCTTCAAAACAAACTACCAGACCAATTTCCAGGATATTTGGATAGCAACAGTTGCCACAAGAGTGTGAACAATATTTTTCTATTTTTAGCTCCTGTGACTAGTTTTCATCAGAGATAACCCATGTTTATACTCAATTGAGCAGTTAACTAGACATCATCCTGACAAAGTTTGATGACGATTGAGTCATAAATGTGACCACTAGAGTGTTAACAACATGTTTCCATATTTGGGCGGTGTGACCTAGTTGTTGACCCCAGGTGACCCATATTCAAATATACTTGACCTAGAAATCATCAAAACAAACTTTTTGACCAATTTCAAGGATATTTGGATAACAACAGTAACCACTAGAGTGTTAACAAGTTTTTTATGACCAAGTTTGATGATGATTGAGCCAAAAATGTGACCGCTAAAGTGTTAACGAACAAATGTGGACGGACGACAGACGACGGACAATGGCCGGCGAAGACGGACATTCAACGATCTAAAAGCTCATCCAGAGCAAGCTAAGGTAAGCTAAAAAAAGGTTAACATTCTGTTAAATGTAAATTTTCATTATGGTATTCAGTTCAAACTTACAGCGACCGAACTTTTTATGGCGTGATTAAAAATTTTATCCAAAACATATCTCATACATGTATAATTGAATATTAACAAATCATACAATATGTTGAACTAAGTTACTCGTATATAGATATGCCTGTATGTTATATGTTATTACATCTGCTTGCAGATATAATAAAGGGTATCACTATGTGTAAATATATATCAATCAATCACAGAAACATGTACCTTGATTATGGCATGAAAAAGTTTTGTTTTCTTTGCAATTTAAGTTCTCCTGTGTGAAAAATAGTTTACTAAAACATAAAGGAATACGTAAGGTAAGCCTATAAATTGAAATATCAAACTGTATTTTCCCACCACATTTTCTTGCATAAAGGTAACTAGTACAATACTTTTCAATGTAGTTACGATAATTATCATGGTTTTTGTCAACAAAGCAGAGGTTTAGCCTGACTGGGACATTTTTAGGTGTGGTATCCTCTCTGAAAATATAAATGTATTCTTTGTTCCAGTAATAAAATAAATATACCCCAATAATCCATCTTGTACGAAAGGATGAATTAATTCAACAATAGATGAATCAACCATGTTTAGCCTCTCGGTGATGTTAAATCTAATACTTGAAATGAATGACAGGCCGGTAATTTAGAATTTTTAATTGAAACTTTCCGCCTAAGTTTGCATACGTTTTGACAACGCTATATCCATTTGCTGCTATAGATTTCTATATTTGGTACTGTTTTATTAGTATTTTTGCTGCAGTAAATCGTACGTGATGACTTGATTTTTGTACTACCAATAGAAAGGTTGATACACCTTGTATGTCATTTTTGATGTACTGTCCACCTGTATGACTGGCAAGCTGAAAAGAAGATTTATTTGTCATTATTTTCAGTAATAAGCATTTGTTTGTTTTGATTGCCGATTAGTTTGTACCTGCGTTCTCAACAAAGTTTAAATGATATGAAACAGTATAATCTAGTTGCATTCTGATAAAAGGTTTAAAAAGATCTTTAAAAAATATTGAAAACATGTTTTTCTTTAAATTGTTGAGTTACTAATTTTGCTTGATACTTACAATCTGTATATATTCTATCTGCAATAAAATTAAAAATAAGATTTTAAGACAAAAGTTTAACTATTAAGATGCCATACATATATACTATATAAGGACAACCGTCATCATTTACAACAATCGTTTGTTTCTAAACATTGCCATTTAACAGGTTTGATATTGTTGACAATTATGTTTAATCATTGGCTAGAATTCATAAATGAAAGAATCTGTTCGATATAATTAACCTTTTCATGATCTTAGAATATGAAAACAGAAAACAAAATTAGTTATATGCCTTTGAATTTGATTTCCATTCATTATGAAATGACTTTATCCGTAGTCAGATTTAAAATGTCAATATGTCATTATGTAAATAGAGAAAGCATACCGAAACATATGTAAGTACTGTAGTGAATGTTGCTGTCATAATCCCTTACAAATCTGTATAGTAAGTGACCATTACAAGTTCTCATTTCCACAGTGAAATTGCTAATGCATTCATCAGTGTGATTCAATATGCAAGCTTTCATTGTAATAACATCCTCGCCTATTTCTGCTATATCCACGTGTTTCTCTGATGTGAAAAATATATCCGTTTTAACAAATAATATATTTACAACTGGCAAATGCTTGTTTTTCTTCCTACCACAAAGCTACGGCATGAACACTGAGTTAGTTTTTATTATTTCCTTTGCCAAGATGCTTATCTCGAATGACATGTTCAGTACGATAAGTATATCATTACTGAAGATTAAAGGCACGATTGATTCATTGTAAAGTAACTTGCAAAAGAAAATAGAATTATTTTAAAATACCTACCATTTAACATTGCAAGCGTACTATTTGGCCATTTTGAGCAACCTTTGTCTAAACTTCCTTTCCAGGGAATCTGCACGTGACCTCCCCAAAATGTGCTGTTGTACCAGTCATTAAAACCAACATACCAATTGTAATAAGCTTTGTTGCCAATATTATGCACGTACTCCAAGTTTTCACAATTCATATTCTCTGTAAATACGTAAAGCGATACAATGATTGTACTCAATTATCTTATTTTATTGGCAAAGGAAAAGCCATGGTGTTTTTTTTTATATGTCGATATGCAATCAATATAGATTATACTGTAGTTAAAAAAGTAGATCGGCACAATAGATAAAGTTTGTTCAAGTTCGACCATGATATGATGTGCTATCTCAAGAATTGTTAAGGGAGCATTAACAGTAAAGGGCGTCCTCTTGACCAAAATGCCTAAATGGTTTTCTCGGCATCATTAGAAAATAAATATAAGATCAGTATTTAACAAACCTGTTGAACTGGACATTGAGGCAGCAGAGATAGTCAGAACATTTAATTTTATGTGATTCGTTGTTCCATCAGTTGTTGATAAGGCTTGATACAATCCTGTTGATAGAAATGAGTTTGCAATTCCATATATTATTGTTTATTTTCTTGCGAAACTAAGTTCATACACAGACAAAAGTTAAAAGACGTTTTCGATACAACACAGTTAAAAAAACGCTGTCCATGCGGGAATGGCTTTTCACAATCCTTCTGTACGATAGTTTGGTATTTTATTCTTGAACTTCAGAAAATTTGAAAATTATTCCACCGGAGTTTAAGCAAGCAAGAGTAAAATAAGGATAAGGGCATGATACTCCTCTCAGATGAGGCTTATTTACTTTGTCAGAACATCCAAACTTTCTGCTTTATCATAAAAGTTTTCCATGTTATGACAAAATTATGACACAAGTTCATGGACAGCATGTGCACTGAAAATTCTAGCCTTAGTTACATAAACGGAACATAAAATATGATAAACAAGATCAACAAAGAAAGGCGGCGTTCAATGAATGCAACCCCCACACGAACCAGCAACAAGAACCAGTGGTCAGGAGCCCAGGCGGACCCAAACAAAAACAGGACAGGACACAAGGCAGAGCACGGACAGGCCAATCACCAGAACAATAAACAAACTGTATTTGATAAGGAATTCAAAGAAAACAAATAAATGATTGAATAATAGGCCCACGAAGTCAAAGGGCTCAGGGGAAGGGCACAGGAGACCCGGGGAAGGGGGGGACATTAAAGAAATAAGACTAGGGGCAAAAGAAAAGATACTTACCTTAGACGAGAAAAGAACAAGGGTAACAAGCAAAAGTGTCACCAAAACAGTATGAAACAACATAGACATACATCTGAGGAACACAGAGGGGCGCCGCATTGGAAAGGTCGGCAGCACAATTACTGGTGGGGAGTTTAAACCGGTTAATGGTGCATCAAACCTCACTCTTAGCCCGACCATCTCCCTATAAACGAGACAGTGTGTAAAATGAATCCCAGCCAAGTGAAATTCTAACAGTTGTTATAGTTTCAAAAGGTTAAATAAGTAAATCACAAAAATGATCATGTAGAAACATATAAAACTAAACCCAATGACCATAACTAAAGTACTAAATGTCCCAAAGGAAGACAGAGCAACAAGAAAATCGCCTACAAGGGCCCGACGAAGCAAGGCAGAAGACGAACATTAAGACAATTCAGTCCCAAAGGGCTCTAAGAACTGTCCATCATAGAGTCTCCCACTTGGTTCGTCTGATGTAATCAAAAGAGGAAAGCGTAGTGTCCAACTGTAAAAGGGTTGAATACTATGCATGCAGTATGTCTTAAAATAGTAGGGTCATAACCTCTTTTAATAAGAATAAAATTTTAATGATTTTATTAAAAACAGCAGAAAATTACCATGACCCAAAATCTTACGAAGTTTGTAAATCACATCGCCACAAAAAACAGGCTGGCTAATCCGTTGTCGCAGAAGAGTTTTTAAATCACTATTGAATTTTTAAATTAAATCAAAATTACGATTGTAAAATTTTGTAAAATATTTCCGTAATATGAAGTACAGAATTTAGCAGTATTGCAGGGTCAAGTTGTTGGAGTATTAGACTGACTATCTAAGTCAGAGACCACTTTGTGGTAATTAAATATGATGTTTCTAACAGATTTCTTATATTTATAGCAAATAATAGGTATATCCGAGTTTTAAAGACTTCATCCTCCTAATGCCTTCAGCACTTTGATAAGTATTAATTTGACATGTTTAAATGCATTTCATTTAATGTTAAACACTTACAAATAAACGATTAAGACCAAATTCGTTTACCCCATTAGAATAATAATCACATCACATAATGAACGAAGGAATAATAATTGCTATCAAGATCGACACTACAAAATGAAACAATGGTTAAAATTTAAGAAATTCACTAACCTATTTTGAAGCAGCAAACAATCAAAATAAAATGTAAGACATGAATACTTTGCACTTTCTTTGAAGACATTCTGTCTCAATTGTCCGCTGTGGTTTAATAGTAATCTAGGCGTTCCAATAACCTTTATATCTATCTTAAAATTTATGATCAATATTTTCATCTAGGGTTTTACAGTTTCTACTTTACTTTTTAACGACATTGAAAGTTGGTTAACAAAAATGCATTCATAAATAATGCATGTCAATTAAAAGAGCAACTGCACTTATTAAAATATGAAATGTTGATGCCCCGCTTAAAGGAGCTCTATTGAGGCTTAAAAGCAAAAAAAACCATAAAAAAATTGAATTTCTAGCTAGCCCTTAAAATTGTCAAAGCTACAACAAAAGATAATGTAAAAATATGCTCAAAATTAAACGGAAACTCGACTTTTAGGGCCATTCTTACCACGATTATAGTAAATGATGATTTTGGGTAAATTGATTGAGGGAATGATCTGCACAAATTATTGGTCCAAACCTACATCTAGTGGTACATACATCTCTGACAAAATATTTCTAGTCCCGTCATTGTAGCCTCAAAACGTATTGGAGACCCATTAATCCGATGGGATGTTCGAAATGTATTGCTTATTTCTATCTGGAGACTTCAAATTTCAAGTCAGCTCAAAAGTGTTCATTTAATGCCCTCGAAGTACTCCCCGTGGCTAGAAATGCAAAGTTTCAGCCGATGTATTCACTTCTTGGAACTTCACGAACTGTAAATTTGGCATCTCCTCCAATGATATCCTTTATTTTGAAAACGATTTCGTTACGAGATGCAGATTTTGGCTTACCTGATTTTTGTGCATTTTTGATGCACTCTACACCAGACTCAAATTTCTTTTTCCATCGCCTAAATGTATCATAAGACACACAAGAAGGCCCATAAGCAGTAGAGAGTTCAGTCATCAACTGCTTCAAAGAGCAACCCAGTTTTGAGCGAGCTTTGATGTAAGCCCGTATTTCATTTTTTTGTCGACGCTTCTACCAACCATTTTTACTACAGTGGTCAATGACTGCGTGCATTTTAATGGCACATTGTACATTTATACACCGTTGTGTAGGTATTGAATTACCCTATACAGGTATATTGTCCCACGTGGATCTCGAGATAGAGGACAATAAGCAATTCTTTTCGAACAGCCCTCGTACATTAGATCACTGGCAGTAGCTTGTATTCATTGGAAAACTAATACCTTTACTTATTAAACTAGGAGACCTTTATGGTCCAAATATTGTCTATCTTTAGAATATAACAAATACCAACTGCTTATAAATAATCTTGAAATAAATATTGGGAGAGGTAGGGGTGGGGAGGTCTACCGTTATTTAAAGTATAAAGTATAAAGAATCCTATTTTAGAGCAAAGATATCAGTAATTTAAGAAATGTTCTACAGAAGTACAAAAGCCTAAAAATATAAGAATTTCTTAAATAGATCAGCCGGGGCATTTAAATTTATAGATATATAAAGATAATTATACGAATGTTTGTAAACAAATATACACAGAACTAAATTGATTATCGTATTGTTTTGCTATTTTAGCCCAATTTGAGTGATAAGCGTTGCGACTCTCATTTGTCAAAATTGGAATAACTTATCTGGAAAAACGGAGTGAGTGAATGTGCTGAACTTTTTACACAAAGTTATTGGTCTAGACCTACATCAAATGGAGCATAAACCTCGAAAAATTTCCAGTTACGTCAGATCAACGTTGAGTCCCTTTAAGGGTAAACTCTGTTGTATGAGGGTTCCATTAGGTAAATTAAATACTTGTATAAATATTTCTATATTTCTATATCCATTCAATCCATTTTGTGAAAAATAAAGTATTCATATTTGACATATTTATGATAAAATGTAAACGTTAAGTACTTACTGGGGGAGGGAGAAGATGACGAGTTTAGTTTTATTATACTTTATTCAAGAACGCATCATACACATATTTTGCGTGCGCTTTGTAAAAACAAATAGCATAAAACTTTAAGGCCATAAATCATTTCAAGAACCGTATAAAAAGTAAATTTTACATAATATTAACTCTTCATTTATTACGTTTGTAACATAAGAAGCGATGAATAGCATACACTATCTCCCAGGCCTCTTTATAGTGGTTAACAAATAAACGTTTTTATTTCAACTACCACAGTTTGGGAGCAATATAACATCTTCACAATATACGTCAGTTTAGAACAAATGTACAATTCATTATAACTAGAAAACGTATTGATTAAATACACGGTTGCCTATCATGAGTGGCCAATATTTCATCATTTACCGTGATATGGATAACAGTCTAAAATCTGTATATTACAAAATAAAAAATCTTAAAAACTAGTAACAATACATTAAAGACGTTGTCTTCAAGCCACCTGCCCCTAATCGCCGTGGGTTCGAGTCTCAACAGGGACTTAAGATTCTTTCATGTGAAGAAGCCATCAAGCTAGCTTACGGAGCCTCGCTGGTACTACTCAGGTACCCTCTCGTGTCTGAAATAATGCACGGAAGTGCACTTGAGGTCTTCCTCCACCAGTTAAGCTGGAAAGTCGTCATATGATCTATACTGTGTCGGTGTGACGTTAAACCAACCCTATCAATCAATCAAACAGACAAACAACACATTGTCTTAAGTTTCGTATTCGTGCTTACCGTCTTAACATGAATATATTAAGTGCCAAAATCGCCGTCTTAACATAACAATGAGCCTACTACATTTTAATCATTTTGAGATAAAGCCTTCAACTGTATCAACGGTCCATGGTCCATTTGAACAAACAAATATATACTCGAAAGTGCAGGATTATTGGTAGAATTATACAAATGTTTTTTAAATTTATTTCAGATTTAAATTTGGAGCTAAATTTTGATAAATGTTTCTTACTATTATAGTGTGTTAACTGCTATATAACACTTTGTTCGGTTTTATAATAAGTAAAGAAAATTGCTGTCACGTGACATATTGCTGTATATTGATTGGCTGAACTTGACTGTAGTCAGTCTAAGTCTGTCTAAATGTGTCTCTTGACGTCTTATCTGTGATATGCAGACTTCATAACATTTGATCCTCTTTCAAAATGCCATTTTATTTTGTTCCGCCCCTTGTTTTCTCGTTTATGGCACACACATTTTTTTACTTAGGAACCATACGTCGCTTTTCATATTGTCACATTTAAGGTTCCATGATAACCGCCGTATGAACGCAGCTGTGGTTACTTGCATATTCCAGTACCGTTCATTAAGAAACTCACCAAACCGAAGCTGCAACATTTTCAATTTTGTCGTTTTACGCGCTATTTAGAGATTGTGCTTTTTATCTATTTTAGCGTTACAGTAGATACGATAGTCTAATGATATACATCCGCAGCATTTGATTGAAGAACATTTTACGGGGGCTCTGTTACATCGTATATAGCTTACATCGTAGCTTATATCTATTTATGGTAGTAGTAGTAGCAGCAGCAGTAGTAGTAGTAGTAGTAGTAGCAGTAGTGGTAGTAGTAGTAGCAGTAGTAGTAGCAGTAGCAGTAGTAGTAGTATTAGTAGTAGTAGTAGTAGTAGTAGTAGTAGCAGTAGCAGTAGCAGTAGCAGTAGCAGTAGCAGTAGCAGTAGCAGTAGCAGCAGCAGCAGCAGCAGCAGCAGCAGCAGCAGCAGCAGTAGTAGTAGTAGTAGTCATAAACTCACAACAATCGTAGTCGTTAAACAAATAGTTATTACTGTACTCTTGGTCTATAAGTCTTGGTACATGTTGTTGACCTTTAGGTTGTTGAAGAAGAATACACATAGTCGTAAGAGAGATAGAAGTCGTAGTTGAGGCCTTTAATTTGAAATCCTTGACTGCGTAGTCGTGGTATTTATCGTTAGTTTAGTTTTTGGCGTAGTCTGTAAAGACGTTTTTGTGATCGAGGTCATCGTCGCCGTAAATCATCGTAATCTACCTGACCATAGTAGTATGTATCGTAGTCGAAGAAACTTTATGTCGTTAAAATTAAGTGTCAAGTGTTTTCATTTTTTATATATTTTGTAAACTCTATATCAAATATCGAAATTAGAATGCTATTCTATGTATATTTGATTAAAGTTTCCAAAAATGTAAAGTTGTTATAATTGTATTTGAAATGTAGTTGTGGTGGCGTTTCCCAGTTACCGAATGCAGCGTTGAAATGGTCCGTTTAATCAGGAAACAGATTATTTTTCCTCTAATTTCCATCTTAACAGCGATTCATATTAAGAAACAAAAACGTTTCAAGTAGATATACGGTCTAGAAATAAAATAGCATTCTCGAAATTTGAAATCTTATGTAGAGTCTATAAAACATATATACAATGAAAACACTTGACACTTGATTTTAGCGATATGCACTAGCTCGGAATAGCGATAGGGCGATTTACCGTATACCTCCGAAAGAGGAAGATCTATCATTTACCAGGCGTGTTTATTAAAAATTGATAATATTTTTTCGTGGGATTTACACATTCTCAAAGTGGGTATTTCATGTTTATATATCACATTATTCTGAACTGTATATGTCTTTTGTGATATACGATATAGGTGCGAGAATTGAACAAAAACATTTATTATAACTGACGTAAACTTTTTACTATATAGCCTAATGTGACATAGAGTTATTTCGATTTATTATCCTCGGAAAAATAACACCCAGACAATAATTTTTTTGCAATATTCCCCGGGGGCGAGTGATCTGTATAAACTTAAGAAAGAGTCATGTTCTAGTTCTCTACCCTGACCACAATCAATGAGGAATTGCTGTCGGAGTTATAATGCATAGCGTTGAAAAATTACATTAAAATGTGAATATTGTACTTGGTTTAACAAGCTAGTAATATTTTATAATTTTTGTATAGAAAATAATTCCAAAGAACGAATGCAATACCTGTTTTGGCAATTATATTTTATAATTATGTTATTTTGCTTTACTATTTCATCTTCTCTGTTACACATCTACTGTTATTGGTTTTAATGATTAACATACATGATTGTCTGTTTGATACAGACCCCAAATAAATGAATAGTTGAAAAGAATAATGCAATATGTACTTTTGCAAAGTTAGTTTTTATAACAATTTTATTTAATATTTAACTTTGTTGTACGTTTTGACGTTTTGTATGTTATTACATTAACCTTGACGTTTTGTATGTTATTACATTAACCCCTTTGCTGATAACATAACTTGTCTTGTTATAAAATAACTTTGTCTGGTAATAACATGACTGGGTCTGGGTATAAAATGATATATTTTAAAATAATATTGTTTGTCTTTAAATGTCCAGTAATAGAATATGTTTGTATTATATCCGGCATGAGTAGGAACACGTGCAAAAGATCGCCATGTCCTGTATAACATGTGTAAATTATATAAAGCACGAGTATGAATTACCATGATGTACATTATATAAGGCAGGAGTAAGAGCACGTGTATATCATCAAAACTTAATGCATTGCATCAGACACGAGACACATTTTAAACATTGCTATGACTTTTATTATATAAGGCACGGATAGGAATACATGTAAAACATTGCCATGATATTCATTATATAAGGCATGGGAGCAGTAAAACATTACAAATGAATAAATAAATAAATAAACAATTACATGATAATGATCTGTTTATTAAGTCAAAACTGACACATTAAGAACAATAATAGCAGAGCATAGTGTTTGTATAAGTGACATTACACGTACAAAGGGACGGGAGAGGATAAGCTTCACATTTATGAGGATACGGCTCCAAAATGTAAACATTTACGTGTAAGTGGTGCATTCCGGTGCCATTTTTGATACATTAAACACTCATTTTGTTCTATAAGAACATTAAACATAAGACATGAAAGAACAGCAAGACACTCAATTCTTTTCTATAGGAAACATTAAACATGGGAATCATTCAAACACGTTGTTAATACGAGTTAATTTGTGAATTCTAGGGGCGCCCACCCTAATTCCGCGCCCCACCCTGAATTTGTACCCTCACTCTGAAACCGCGCTCAGTTTGGTAATTAATACATACAATATATACTAAAAAATTCATAAATGAATTTTTTACATCTTTTTCAAAATTTCTAATATTGAAACACAAGAACAAAAAAAAATACAACCAAAAAACAAAAACAAACTAACTTAAAAATTATAAAAAACATTGAAAACAACAACAACAAAAAACAACATGTACCATTGGTCACTTTAACTTGAAAATCTCTTTGAATAAATATATTAGCAATCTGTACTAACACGTGTAAGTTAAGAAAAGTGTCTGTTTACAGTTATCACACAAAGTAAGAAAAAAGCAACATTTCTATTTCCATTCACTAACGTTGCACGACATATCCAGCAACATTTTGTTTCTTATTTTAATGTTTTTTGCCACCCCATGTTTCTCTAGCCGGGCCCGCTGATAAGTACGCCTGACTTGAATTCATATCACCCACAGACACAGTCCTGTTTCCAAATATAAACAAGTTGTATGTAAATTAAAACGATCATGTTCATTATTAATTATTGATCAATATGTTTTGTTGCTAAATAAAGCACAGAAAGCAGCTCTTATTCTTATTCATGAATTTTTATTTTTGCTTGAAAATTTAGTACTCAGTAGCGATAAACAAACGAACAGAACTAATCTAAGCCGAATGAATATAAGAGACGGGCAACAAAACTAATAACACATATTTCCTTAGTCTTGAAAAAGATAATTTAAGAATTAAAATTAAAGAAAATACATAGAAAAGACATATTCCGGTGAATACAACAATAAATTAATAAGAAATACTCGTAGCTATGAAAGCAAGAAAACAAAATTTTCTGAAAATTGTTTCCCTCGGTTTTTTAAGTATATGAAGTTGGCACAAAGATTCAAGTTAAACATGTAGCTCGACATTCGATTTATCACTGTTGAGAGGGAAAGGGGAAAGCGGGCCCCCAAATTCACCCGACATTCGTTTTTACCCACTTTTAAAGAGGGGAAATTTTTGAAGATGAAAAAGTTTTTTTTAGGGTTGGGGCGGGAAAATGTCCATTTGGGTCAATTTTTCCAGCATACCCCATACTCAAAATACTTTTTTCTTTTTTGTTAGTGTCCGTCTAGAAATTAACGGGCCCTCGACCTTTAGCAAAACTTTCAGATTGAAAATCTTTTTTTTTTTCTCCTTTGTTTTAAGCGGGGTATGTTAGTGGTAGACCTTTAACAAAAAATTTCCCAGCAACGACTTTCCCTTTTGAAATTTTATTGAGTGGGTTTTCCTTTTTGGGAAAAAATAAAATATTCCTATCTAAATTTATATTAAAAAGTTTTTTAAAAACAAATTTTTTAACTTACCCCCGATTCTTCGTTAGTTTGTTACATCGTACATACACCACGGCAACGGTTGCTATGATACCGACAAAGACTGAACCAACTATGATGCCGATAAGTGCAGAAGAAGATAAACCGATGTCGTCATCATTACAGGAAACTAAAGTTTGTTCAAACTTTTTAAAAAAATCTCATAAAATCAAATAAATTTTGTTAAAACTATTTATTTTAAATCTCATAGAATTAAAAGGAAACAACAGAAATACCACAGGTAGAAACTTGTCATAATTTTGAATACAGACTTGTTGAATCAGTTAAAGCAGCACGCCCCCTGATTAATGCTTATTTTCATAAAAAAGAAAACTAACTTAAATGTATATTATTGATTAGGAACCAAAATGAATCATTTTACACATTAACAATGGCACTTACAACCCACGTTTATTACAAAAGGAGATCAAAATATGCAAAAAAAAACAAAACAACCTTACTGCGTTAGTAATATAGTTACACATAATGAAAAATTCACTTTTAATCACTCATGAAACGTAAATTATTACTTGAATCTTGGATCTTTCTACTTTGCCTAAAAGCTTAGTATATTTTTCTTTTCACAAGTTTGATTTATTGAAATAGTGTCACTCATCTGGAGGCATGCTGCTTTAAAACAACAAAAAACTTTATTCGAATGATTCGAATTAATCGAACAACATTCGCCACAACAGTCCGTAACTTTAAATGCCAAATGTAAGATAAAACTGGATATTTTACTGTCAATTTCAAGAAAAATGTAAATTAAAACACATCACACCTTTAGTCCACCTGTAGGGGTTTGTCTGGGAGTCGCACACAAAGCAATCCGATGAAGTTTGTAGGGTGCTATCTCCCGTAATACAAGATCCACCAATGTAACAAAAATTTTCCTACATGTATGAACAAAACCCAAAATAAAATGATAACTTACGCGTGTTTATCTTTTAAGTTTTTATAGAAAGAGAATCGATAAATATATCTTTGATAAAATACATAAGCAAGAAACTGGTTTCGTGATCTGACTCTTTGACGTTATATTTGACATTCCTTTCCCATATACATTCTATATTTGACAATAAGTCAATTCTTCGACTTTCGCGGAATTTGAGTAAGGCGATTTTGACTTATTGTGAATTCGTGCAGTCATAATCGTCAAGTTCAAAAATTTCAAAACGTTACTTATTGAAGTCGAAATAGTGAATTTATGAAGTTGAAATATGAATTTGTGAATTCCTTATGTTGAAAATGGGGAATTCCCACCGAAATAGAATTGTAAATTTGACGAAAGATAAAGAAAATTTTGGGTAACAATTAACGGTTTTTTGGGGATTTTAAAACTTAAAAATTTTAAACTAAAAGTCATATATGTTTTAAATTTAAATATTTAATCTGCTAGAAACAAATTACAAAAATAGTTTTTGCCCCGAATTTTCCTCCCTTCAAGTTTAAAGGGACTACAATCCCCCCACCCCCGGTTTTATGAGAAATTTCAAAACAGGGGAATCAAAAAACATATACGGATTGCTTTGTCCGAATTCTCCCCGCGTTACTTATAAAAAGTCAAACATAAGAAACAGAATTTTTGGGAACCCCCTTTAACTTTCGAACGCTGGTGAGGTACGCAGCACTCCCCGGTAAATATATCTTCATATTTGCCGACATTAGTAGACTTACCTACCTGTGTTTTTGTGCCATCGAATAACATCTAAAATATAAAACAAAAGACTTCACAAATTTCTAGATTAAACAAAACAGAGAAAGGAACAAACAAAAAACAAAGAACAAAAAGTGTAAATTGTGACGTTAGCAAATTAATCATCAGAAAAATGGTAAATCAGAAGCATGTGTGTCGGAATAAATAAATATAAATGAGTGAAGATTCAATACTGACTTTACTGAACGAGTTATTTTGATATAATGTATTGCGAAGAAAAAAAAACAAAAAACAAAAATCTAAACATGTTCTATATGACAAGTAACACAAGTAAAATGCATGTACCTCAAAAGTTGTTATTTCGTATTTGAAGCCATCAAATATGTTATCAGTTCGTATAACAAAACAATCACATTCATTCCCATCAGCTGTATCACATAAACCACCGTCATTTATGTCATAGATAATTGGTGGAATTCTTAAATCTATACTACAGTCAGGTCCACGAAAAACATCTTCACAACTGCACAATCCTGGATTAGTACGAATATTTATTATTTTTATTTGTAATTAAGTTTAATAGACTAATCTTGAAATCATTAGAATAAATAATCTACTAATCTTATAAATGACATTATATTAATAATAATTAATTCAAATCAAGATTTAAGAACAAAAAAAAACAGAAACAACAACAAACAAAAACAAACAAACATTGACCTGCATCGGAGCATACTCCATGTCCACTACAGTTATTTGTACATGTTTGTGACAGGAATGCTTTTACTGTTTCAGAATTGTTAGCAGCAAAATCAGGACTTAGACTGATCACTGTTGATGCTATACTATTGAGAGCATCGACATGTGCTGACGCCCATACTGTACTGTTACCATGCTATAATGTTAAATAAGTAACTGAGTTATGAAGAACATCGGCATGGGCTGACGCCCGTACTGTACTGTTACCATGCTGTAATGTTAAATATGTAATAAAGTTATGTAGAACATCGGCATGGGCTGACGCCCATACTGTACTGTTACCATACTTAAATGTTAAATAAGTAATTAAGTTATGTAGACATCGACATGTACTGACGCCCATACTGTATTGTTACCATACTTAAATGTTAAATAAGTAATTAAGTTATGTAGACATCGACATGTACTGACGCCCATACTGTACTGTTACCATGCTCTTTGTTTGTTTGTTTGTGTCATTTTACGCCTTTCAGTATTTCAGTCATATAGGCGGGTAGTTTTAACCCTCGTCCTGGAGATTTCACCAGTAATTGACTACCTTCCCCCGCGCTAAAAATACCAAAAACATCTCCCGGGGGGTCGAACCCACGCCAGAGAGGGAAAGGAAATTGAATCATCCCACTCTTAAAACCCCTCGAAACCCCGGGCGGTGCTTTCCCTGCTCTAATGTCAAATAATTATTAAACATGTAGAAATCAAATATGGGCTGAAAGCCCCAAAATATATTTACAAATTTTAAAAATGCCCCTTTAATAAAAAAAGAGAAACCTTTTTTCCAAATATTTAATTGAACCCCTGGGAAAAATGTTGCCCCGGGGGTATCAGGGGTGAACTTGGAACTGTTTGGGAAATGTCAACAAAAGTTTAAATAATTTTTTTAATGTTTATATATAAAATTAAACTTTATTAAATAAAAGTAAACTTACAATAATGTCATACACGCATTGGTCAAATACAATGTTTGTGTCTTCATCTCCAAGCTGGTCCGAGAATTCTTTGACGGATGGGGCTTCAGTTATAGAGGTGTTACACAATTCACGAGCTTCATCGTCCGAAATGTCGCCCCCTGTACTTCTCTATTTGATAAAATTTGGAAATTGGTATTAGATCTACATTTTTACGAGTACTTATATCAATGTAAGGAAACTTTTTTACATTTATAAAACTGTTATGACTTGATGATAAATATGTTTGATTAATTTCAATGTTTACTAATTCTGTGAAGATATTTTTTTCCGAATGAATCAGCTCTATAAAAATATAAGTTAATCTAAATTTATGCGTCGTTATTAATTATTTAACGTAAGTGAATGGCAGGAAAAACTGCACACAGGGCCAGCAAGCCTAAATGACTAAATATTTATGTATGAAAAAAATAAAATAAAGAATAAATAAATAAGTAAATGAACCCAAAGGCTTATTGTTTAAACGTTCATGCAGTATAAAAAGATAATACATCATCAGTTATTTAGTAATTACCTCATTATGCATATATGTTTATTGTTATCATATAAACTTACAATTTTAGCATTGAATTTACATTAACATGTTTCTTAGAAACTTACCTTTTCTCTCATGTTATTAATAATTGACTTTATTTCTTTTCCAATTCTTGTGACGACATCCCGCCGTTTTCTCTTCTCTCCGCCAAACTGACATTTATTCTTAGATATCGAGTTACCGTTCGAACAAGCTTCATCCATGGATGCTCCGTTGTTAACATTCCATTTCTCTAAGACACGGTTGTCATTATGTAAGAAGTTTTCCTCATCCAGTAATCTATTTTATAAAGTGATACTTCAGACAATTCATACTAATATTTCGAATATAAATCAATGTAGAATAGATATATAAATAAATGTAGGATAAATATATAAACTAATGTAGAATAGGTAGAATAGGTACCGGTATATACAATCATGTAGAATAGATATATAAATTAACATAGAAATATAATTTAATGTAAATAGATATATAAATTAATGTAAAATAGATATATACATGTATGTAAAAAAAATGAAGCAAAAATATTCAGAACCAAATTACATCTTTCAATGAAGAATAAACTTGTAAAAACATTACTCTTTTCAACTTGAAGAATAAATTATTACTGTATACCTCCAACTTTTTATAAAGTCAGTATAACCATTTTAATAGTCATGTGATGGGGACGATTGGGAGCCATTTCTGTGCCTAAAAGTCATTATTTCTATCTCCATCAAAATATCCACAGAGTCCGTCAGTGTTGTGAAAATCTTTGGCAGATAAGTAAATATCAATATCCATCGTCCGTCCCCAGGAGTGAAGATTTTACAATGATCACAGTTCCTATTGGTGTTATTACCTACCAAACATACACTGAGCTCATTCACATCACAAAATACAAGAACCGTTCATACACAAAGCTCAATAACACAATTAATAAAACATAGATTTCATTGTAACACAAAAACAAACGTTACACTCAATTGCATTTTCAATAAATTTACAAACATTAAGCTCAAATTACACAATATTTATGATGCAAAAGAAAACAATTTGACTTAACTTGAATTGTGTCAGCCAAAATTATGTATGCAACAAAACATAATAGTATTTGAAGCCCCTAAATGCTTCAGCAGCACATGAAGAAAAGAAACCTAAACCTTGTAACGATAATCATGGATCCGCTGAACATCAATTATTCCTCCATCATTACACTGTAAAAAGTCTAATATCGTGTAGTTGCCACATCTGTTAATTACAAAGACATCGGCCCCTGACCTGATGGCTACACCACAAGCACACACTGCTCCGCCATTATTATTACAGTATCTGGCATACTCATGAACCTTTAATGTTAATAAGAATTAACTATCATATTATACAGTTCTACGTACAGATTGTTGTTTAGCTGTGTTGCCAAAAAGGAAAAGTTTTGTGTAAAGCGACATTTATCTTGTACTGAATGTAAGAGCCGACCATTCCTCTTTATGATAAGATAATTACAACATTCATAGCTATTAATCTCTTTCAAATTCAAATTGACAATAAGAGTTGAGCTCAATTATTACTTTTCAAAGAAAGAACACATTAGTTCAAACATTTAGTATTATTTTATGTATGAGCAATGTATCTCCCCTCACGACGCAGAAGCGATATTTCGACCAAGAACAACAAGTACCACAGAATCTAACTTTAGCTGTTGAAATATTTTGACTAGGTGCATGTGGCCGCGTGTCAACGGTTACTATATTGTATTATCAGATAATAATGTTACATAGTAAAAATCTATTAAAATTTGGTCATATTAACCATGGCAAAGGTGTTATAAACGCATTTAAAATTACACTCTCCTTTGAGTTATTACAAATAATCAAATTTTAAAAATATTTTTGTAAAGTTTTCAACATAGTTTCTGCTCATGCAATGTTTAATTATGTTAAGCCTGTATTCCAGCAATTTAAAAATAAAAATGTGCACCAGACATATTGATGATATAAAATAACTATTGTCAAATGAAAAGCGTCGTTATAAAATTATACTTTTAGTCTAATTTCACGGTTTCGAATCAAAGTAAATTCAGTTTGAATTCGTATGGGCACGAATGTTTAAATAATAGAACTATACCTTATATATATCAATAAAATCCTACCTCTGTCTGATATTCTTTGTTTCTATAAAACATGTGATCACCGACCAATTGTTGCCCGAAATACCTATACAAACATACAAAGTACAACATAGATATCTATACAAAAATACAAAATACATCCTAAGTCTGGTGTTTATTTAGATATATTCAAAGTTTAAAAAGTTTATCCAATGTATAATTATAAAATCTATGTCTACACATTCACATATTCTTATCAATTATAAGTTTGCTTGTTTATAATGTAACAAAGTCATGTCACGTTTTTATTAACATTCAACATCGGCTTGAACAGAATCCAACATTTAACATGAAATGGTAAAATGTTAATTCCGGAAATATCCGCAGATGTGTTCATACAGCGGTTAACATGGACTATTCAATGTGATAAGTTAGTGCCATTGCATGAAGAGCAGCGTATTATTCGTAGTTAAAGGAATGACGGGACTAAATGAAATGGAATTTTGAAAAGGGGGATCAGACCAGACGTTATCAAGCATGCATATTACAGACAAGACGTCAAAAGACAAATTAAAAAAGCAGGCAAAATATCCTGAAGATGATTAAGCACGATTCAAATTAGAAGTAGCTGGAAAGCACCAAACTTAGGTGAAACACAAATAGGAAATAACTAAAAAATCCCTCAGACATAATAATTAAAATTTCGTTGTTGAATTATCTTCAAAGGATGGGAAAATTATACCGATTCTTAGATTGTATTCAAGGGGAAACATTTAACGACTTTTTAAATACCAGGTCTTAGGACATAAAGCCAAGTTTAGGACTTATTTAAGACCGCTGCAATTAACTGTTTTATCTTCGCTAAAATACAAATGTACTTACTGTAGGTTATAATAAATGCATATTTCTGAACAATGTTAAGAAACACAATGACAGATCATTTTATTTTCAATGTGAAATTAAAGCAATCATGAAATAGGAGTCATAAGTTAGGACATTTTCTTTGAAACGTAAAATTGTCTCAGTTTTGGTCTTTTGGTGATTTCAGACTCAGAACTTTCTAGGAAAAACACACCCCTGTTACCTCACCTCTTACTATTATATATGATATAGTTACACTAACCTTCCGTCCGCGGTTCGCACGTGCGGATCAGCATGCGAGTAGCATCGTTTGTATCTATGCAATGCCGAGTGTGTCACCTCAACCTTTATATTAAATCAAATATTGTTTATCTAAACTTTCGAGGAAAGATAGATGTTTTACGGTTTTATAAGAAAAAAATAACATTACATTCTTACAAAAAACAGCAAAAACAATTAATACAAAAAACCAACCAAAGACCATTACATCCCGACTTTTGTTTAATGCATTAAATATCTATAATAGAAGCGCGAAGTGTTGTGTACTTTAATACTTTATAAAACATTGTAACATGCTAAAACCATTAAAACGTTAATAACTTCTTTCAAAGTATTCGACATTAAGATAATACAATCTTTATAATCGAATTGACTTGTTCTTACCGCAACAGTTCCAATACGGCTGAAATATTTAAAGATATACAATATTTACATACTATTGAAGCTATAACACAAAATATTTGATAGGGATGATGTAATTTTTAAAATTTAATAATAGGTGCTTCGTTTTTCTTTTAATTAATTATTAAAAATAAACTGCTGAGTAACCCAAGCACGAATCGTTGTTAATGGCATTGCTCTACACCTAAAGTTTTCCAAATACATTGTATTTATTAATCATTTGCCGGTAAAAAACCTCATTGTAAACTTTTTACAAAAACCTCCATGTACAATTTTATATTACCTTGGTTTTCTTCAAATTAGGTCAATACAGACTTTGTAACAAGCACATCGATGTATGAGAAAATCAATTATAGTTTACCTCTTTATTTACCAACATCTAACTTTGTTACATACACTTCTATGTATACGCCAACAAATTTTTCTTACCTCAGTAATAGCAATTTACATTGGTTTTGTATAAAGCGCCTCAATGTATAGCTCGGCCAATAAAATCTTACCTCAGTATTTACTACTTCTGTCAGTTCAGACTTAGTTACAAGCAACTCCATGTCAAAGTTCAGTTTGTCATCATAGTCATGATCTATTGTAGTTAATCTAAATCTCATACTTGATGCTAGAGTTCCAAACATCACCTACCATCAAAGTCTAAATAATGTAGAAATAGACTCATGTTTAATACAGAAAAGTAAAAACATACTACTCATCAAAGTTTGATAAGGACCACTTTTGTAGTCTGTTATTATTATTGATTAAATTTCCACATTGAACAGTTTATGATATATTATGGGGTCTTTTTATATAACCAATGAATTAGTCATCTAAACTTATTAATTGAACTTCAAACATGAGTGTAAAATGATCATAGCGGAAAAACTTTGAAAATTCGTAAACTGCTTGAACTTTGTAAAAGTAGTTTTTTTTTCTAAAGTCTACATGGAATAAGTTCAAAAATATTGTATAGTGTTCACATATCAGTATTTCCCTCGCTATAATATAATGGGTATAACACATACTCTTTATTGTGGTTTAAACCCCTGTGACACTAAGGCGGCGTTCTCACGGCGTCAAAAGACAATTCAGAATGCCCGAGATGAGCTCAGAAAAGATCGCAAACATCACCACAGCATCGCCACAGCATCGCCACAGCATCGTAGTGGATTCGCAGAGAACTCCGACCAACGGCGCGCATTTTGAGCATGCTCAAAACAAACGCTGTCACTCGACGTTCTGATAAAAGCGCAGTGGGATCGCAGTTAGGATACAGTCATAAACTCTGTAGCATCTACTACAACGCACAGGAGCGCCATGAAAGCGCAAAAGGAATGCCGAATGAACGGGGTGGTTATCCACGGCGCTTGTACGAAGATTGTGCGGCGTCTCCACCGCACTTATACTGTGTGCGCACGGCGCTTTGAAGGAGCTACGATTTCAGCGCAGTTTGAGTGCCGAAAGGGTGCCGTAAAAGCGCAGTGGAAGAGCAAAGAACACAGTAGAAGTGCAATCCGAATGGAAAGAAATCGCCAATTGAAACGCCGTAGAAGCTCTGTAACATCGCCATGACCGCCGTTAAAACGCCGTGAAGTCATAAAAAATATCACATTTTTCTTGCGATCTCGCAGCGCGTTATTAGAATTAACACCCACATGCAAACGCAGTGAAAGAGCAGTCTATTGTGACAGGGCCTTTACATTAAAACCATTATCATGACATCATCATATATTTCATTGGCGAGGCTGCCCTCAATAAAATTTTGCAAAAGAAATAAATATCATATAATTCATCATTAACAAAGATTTACTTTAACATGATGATCGACAAATCGTAAAAATCAAGAAGTTAATAATTCATTTATAACCTGCTAAGAATTATGTACACCTACCGTCAAGTAGATATGTGTAATGTTATTGTAACGAACCTTTATTGTGTGAGAAGATGTACGGTTATTATCAGCGTTCATCACGTGTATTCCAGCCTTGCATGCATCAATTTCACGGTTTATGTCTAAAAGTGTAAGCGTTTCCTCGCACACTTCTTCTCCTGTATTGGTATATGTACAACCTAAAGGAACTGTCTGTTCAACTACAATGATAGCATATCCATTCTTCGGCAGTCTTCTGGATGTGTCTGAAATCTGTACCGATCACATGCATATGAAAATCCACTTACTGTTTATTGTATCATAATTAAGAGCCATTTCTGTTGAAAATGTGTCGGAGTTAAATCGTTACATATACATGCAAAGTGCCTTAACTGGAGTACGTCTATTATATTAATTTGTTGCTGTAATTTGACAGCGGTTTCTGCGCAATTAGCAATGTCGTCCGCAAACATAAGACAGTTAATGTCATGTATGTCGTTAGTTATAAAAATTCCTGTTCCACACGAGAGACGCAGTAACTCTGCTAATTCATTAATAAAAAGTATGAATAAAGTTGTGCTGCTTACGTCTCCCTGTTTTGTTCCAACATTACAGGGGAAGTAATCAGTAGATAAATAACAGCAATTGTTATCATTAAAATTTGGTCTATTTTTAGCATGATTACAGTCGAGTTTAACCAGTATACATAGTCTTGAGCACGCGTAAAAATTTGCCGCGGAGACCTCTACGATATAATATTTCAAAAAGCTTCGCGTGATTTAATTTGTCGAATGCTTTCTTAAAATCAACATAAATACAATAGGCGGAATCATCGAACAAAATATCTCTAAAATACGAATACCATTCATTGGCTGAAATATTACACAGTGGACGTGAACGCTTAATAAGTGACCACATATCCTTGGGATTATTACTAATATTAATGAGTTGTTGTCTTTGGTCGCGCGTGTGTAAATGTCAGTATAATGGCTGAAAGTATATCGGACCGAGAACTTTTTTATCATACCTCGTATATATCACAATCTCATAAAACTTTATTAATTAAGTCCTTAAAATTATGACGGAAACGAATACGTGTCATACTTATTATGCCCACACTTCGAAGAAGAGGGGGTATATTGCTTTGCACTTGTCGGTCCGTCCCGTCCGTCGGTCCGTCGGTCCGTAGACCAAATGGTTTCCGAGTGATAACTAAAGAACCCTTAGGCCTAGGAACTTCAAACTTGGTATGGTGATTGGTCATGACCAGTAGATGACCCCTATTGATTTTGGGGTCAAGGGGTCAAAGGTCAAAGTCACATTGACCTTGTATGTTAAAACGGTTATGACCAGCAGACGACTCCTATTGATTTTGGGGTCAAGGGGTCAAAGGTCAAGGTCACATTGACCTTGTAGGTAAAAACGGCTTCCGATCAATAACTAAAGAACCCTCAGGCCTAGGAACTTCAAACTGGGTATGGTGATTGGTCATGACCAGCAGATGACCCCTATTGATTTTGGGGTAAAAGGGTCAAAGGTCAAGGTCACATTGACCTTGTAGGTAAAAACGGTTTCCGATCAATAACTAAAGAACGCTTAGGTCTAGGAACTTCAAACTTGGTATCATGATTGGTCATGACCAGCAGGTGACCCCTAATGATTTAGTGGTTAAGGGATCAAAGGTCAAGGTCACATTGACCTTGTAGGTAAAAACGGTTTCCGATCAATAACTAAAGAACCCTTAGGCCTAGAGACTTCAAACTTGGTAAGATGATTGATCATGACCAGCATATGACCCTTATTGATTTTGGGGTCAAAAGTCAAGGTCACATTGACCTTTTAGGCAAAAACGGTTTCCGATCAATAACTAAGAAAGGCTTAGGCCTAGGTACTTCAAACTTGGTATGATGATTGTTCATGACCAGCAGATGACCCCTAATTGATTTTGGGGTCTAAGGGGTCAAAGGTCAAGGTCACATTGACCTTGTAGGTAAAAACGGTTCCGATCAATAACTAAAAACCCTTAGGCCAGGAACTTCAAACTTGGTATGATGATTGGTCATGACCAGTAGATGACCCCTATTGATTTTGGGGTCAAGGGGTCAATGTCATAGTGAAACCTTGTACTTTATGACCGTTTCTGACCAATAACTCAACAACTCAAGTTGCCTTCGTTGATATTTTTATGTGCTTTTGGTATACACATTTGAAGGTCTTATGTAATATAACAACTTGGCTGTCATTAATGAGGCCTATGTGATTCATACAATTTATGTATATAATATATTATTTGGTAAGATTTTAATAACTTTAATTGCTGCACACAACCTATGGGGTCACAATAATTATTACCTTGTGATTAGTCATGACCAGTAGATACTAGATAACCCTTATTAATTGCTTATTCACTGGGTCAGAAGTCATGCATAATAACCTGATCACATGACAAATTGGCTGCCGATAGGGGGCATACATGTTTTACAAACATATCTTGTTCATTTAAAATTGGTAAACAAATTAAGCATTGAATGTTTATGTAAATTATAACGTTGATATATTACCTTCCAACCTGCGAAAAAAGTATTGCTCAATTTTTCATCTGTTGTCCCAGCTGCGATGACACCGCATTTCACCTGAAACGAAAGGTTTTATTCCAGACTTATGTGTACCCAAAATCGTCTAGAGTATAGTTGAGATAGATTTATGTGGAAGTGAAAGCAACAGCTTTTTGTGAACAGTAAAGTTTTCAAAATACAGTACAACTTCTGAAAAGCAACACCCTGTGGGTGACAAAGACTTTGATTGTTGTTGACTGGTGTTGCTGAAGAGAAGTAATATTTATTTTGAATTGCTACTTTGGAAGGAAATTACACTGCTGTTACAAAGAATTAGATGCTCTACAATATGCTGCTCTGCAATTGTAGCAATTAATACTTTAATGATTCAATGTATTCACCTCGTTTAATATACTCTTAATTAAGGTATAATTTATATATTCTTGTTGTTGTTTTTAATCATAACCCGGAGCACAGTACCACAACCTAACATTAAGCATGGAATGTCATAAAAGTTTGGACATTTAGATAAGGCAAGAGTTAAACGGCCCATTAATCGTATTTACGAACTTTAAGGAGCATTATATCAAATATGTATATTTATTATTTATGGCAGATTTATAAACGGTAATATTGAGCCCCTGATTTTATCTACCTCATATCCAAGTCGTAATTGATTTAAAGAATCTCCGCTTAATACAAGGTCATCCGGATTAGATGAAAATCCTGTCTCACGCCATAGTGTTCCATTGATATACCTTTTTGAAAGAAAGAGAAGTGAAGGCCATAATATCTTTTTTATGTATACATAGCATTTCGTTCATTTACATAATTCGAAAAGCCTTTGCTTTTTGTTTCAACTCTAAGAACGACATGAAATGTTGTTTATAGCAAATCAAATGGTAATCAACGTGTAAAGGACATGGGTGATGATGGATGAGAATGGTTGCCTGGGACCTGCCAAAAGGTGGAAGTTCGTCATTGATCACACGGGATACTACTTTGAAGGAATGTAGAGAGGCAGCAACCTTAGATTATTTAAATCTGAAATTATTTACAGATTGCATTGTATAATGAATGATCATGCCTTATGTCAATCAGTTTTATTCTAGTAATGTTGGATCATAATATTACATCCTAAATGTACATATGATAGAACTGGTTGTAGTCAAAGAGAAAATCGTACTGTACCCGAAGTCTGAAAATGATTGAGATGTACATTAGGAAATTCCCGAAGTATGAAAACACAATGGGTATTTTGTAATTCAACGCAATGTTCCATTGTTTTAACAACCGGTTTGCTGTTCGTCTTTGAAAAAAAAATGTAAAAAATAAAAATCTTTAAAACTATAAAACTATCAAATCAAATAATTATAATTTTATAATGATATTTTTTTACCATGTCACTTTGTAAGCAGTGTCTCCAGTCATCACAAATGAACATTGGAACTGAATGTATGGTCTATATATAATTCTATCATCACTGACTTTGTCTTCTCTGTGTTTTATTTCTGGTATTACCTTCACATTGTTGTAATGAACTGATAAAGTAAGTATATTATTATTATTATTATTATTATTATTATTAATATTATTATTATTGTATCATACTTTGGGGACTTTTTTGTTGAAAAAGTGTCAGAGTTAAATCGTATACATATACATGCACAGTGCGGTAACTGGAGTGCAGGTATCAGTTACACGCACTCCAGATAATGCCCGTTGATCGGTTCATTTTTGCTGGGGTTTACTTATTGTGACGCAGAAATATCATATTCAAATGCTCGTTCATTGGTTAATTTTTTCTGGGGTTTCATATTATGACAACAGGGAACGTGCTGTCATGTTTGACTATGATACAAAAGAAAAAGAACACCAAAACACTCGTACAAAATCAGATAGCCTCGTGTTTCGGTGCTCTTTCTATTACTTATTATTATTATTATTATTATTATTATTATTATTATTATTATTAAAATTATTATTATTATGTAATTAAGGTTTTATCTTGATTTTACTGACATATTATGCTTCCTAATGACACAGTTGGGAATAACTAACAAAGAATGAAATGTGTGTTTTATAACAAAATGTGGAAACTATACATAACATTTCACTTTTAAGTATGTGTAAATTGTCGGAAACTTAGATGATGACCGCGGACACATAATTTTCTATCTAAGCACCATGGGTTTTGTGATTTTCAATTTGTTAATGATTTTTTCCATAATTTTGATCTTTTCCTTTTCGCCTGACATTTCAACCACATTTCAGACATTTCTGTATTGATAATGGTCAATCACAGAATAAATTAATTATATACATAATATGATATTTGTAATAAAACAAAAATGTCCTTATCTTAGAAAGTGTACGAAATGTTTTTATAATTTGAAAAGGATACGGTCCCTAGTATTCGAGGCACTATATTGGTTGTTTTCTCTTATAAAGTCAGAGTGGATAACGCGTTGCAAAAAATGCTCTAAGAAAAGGTTAATTACGAAAGCGGCTTCTTGATAAATTCAATGTTATCCGAAACAAATCGATCTCGATGTGGATCAAGATTCTTTACTTGACTATATCTCATTTGAAAGAAAACTTACTGAGACAGAAATGGTGATAATAGCGAAAAGGTGATACATCAAACTGGATTTTCCCATCACATTTTCTTGCATAAGCGTAAGTAGTACAATACTCTTCATAATAATATTCCCCATCATTATAGTTATCGTAATAATCATAGTCTAAGTTGCGTTTTTGTACGTAGCAAAGTGCATACTTGACAGGAATATTTTCTGGTATATCTAGAGACATTCTCTCTGAAAATAAATGAGACATTGATGATACACTCATCTCTGTAAATAAATAATTTCTTGAAAGTAATAAGGCATTTTCTTATTATACAGAGAATTATGATAAATGAAAATATATATTTACTTTTCAACGTTCCTCGGCATAAACGTGCATATAAGAGGACAAATGGCGGTTCCTAGCCGATTATATATATGAATATATACATATATGATATTATTAACATTTGTATTTATATCTAACATAGTTTGATTGTTAAGCAAGTACTAATCATATTTTTTGTAAGTACTTGACTATTTTATCAATGTACCTTTCAGAAAGAAACCGTCGCGATACCAATCATTGATACCGACACATTCATCGAAAATCTCATCAACATCGTCATAGGCAGGTATCACATACTGTTTCCCGTTTTGATGAGCGTCTAACCATCCAAACTGGATACTATGATATGACAAGTTTAGGAACCCGTCTGTTACATTTCCAGCAGAGTAAACAGACTCAGATGACTGGCAAGCTGAAAATTATATTCATATTTAGGTAAACAGGTTTTGGTATACACATTCAATGACAGTGTTCTGTTTTGATCTTTAAATTATATGTCAATTGTTTGTTACCCGTGTTCACAACAAAATTGATTATATTAACAGTATATGGTGTATCTACACTATGAATTTATTCGAACATGTTCTATTGTCCAACAGAGCCGGTGGGAGAGGGCTATGATGGAAATAACTGTTTTTGTATTTTCTGATCGCAAGATGTACAATTGACCCAATTTTGCTTTCTAATCCGAACTCAGATACACAATCCTTCAGTTTATTTGCGAGATTTTCACCAGTGTGTCTCTCTTGCATTTCGCGAGTCATCAACACGTTAACTAGATTCCATCACCCAGTCATCAGTAAGATGATGTTCAGTAATAGTCATGTAACTGTCAGTAGCATTAGATGTCCATGTATCAGCGGTGAGCGAAACTGATTGAACACTTTCTAGGTTTTTGACAAATGACTCTCTTTCGTCATCGTATCTCTTCTCAATACGCGATTTTACTGTGTTTCTACTCGGCAGTTTGTACTCTGGCACTACTATCTGCAGCAGATTAAGAAATGCTTCACTTTCTACTATACTTAAAGGTATATAGTCCTTTACAATCATTTGCTACAGCCTACAATCATGTTTGCTATAGCCTGTGTGATTTTTTCACTTTGCGTTTCAGTTATTTTATTTTTCGTGTTCACAAATATGTCCATTGAGTGTTGTTTTTGTGTGTCAGAGATTTTGTTTTCAGAAGGATGCTTTAAGCGTAAATGATTTAGCATGTTTGTAGTACCACCAGTATACGTCATTTCACAGCTACATAATGTACATTTAACCGTCTTGCTATCAGCACAGCGTTTGAAATATTTCCAGGCATTAGATTTTGCAGGCGGCATTTTGACTCTTATGGAAATTTTAATATCTTATTCTAAGCAAAAACTTTATCAAGATATAAAAAGTTAATGATATTTCTGGATTTATATGCTTAAAGAAGAAAAGGGAGTTACTCTCCTTTATTGAGTAAAGAAAAACAACGTATAATTTGGTCTAATTACAACCTTTAATCTAACATTCATAATAACAATCCGGCCCTTTACTGTTTCAAAACGGTTACCTTAAAACAAGTTTCGGCTACAAACTGTTACACAATTAAAGGTCATTAAATATCATAAGAGGCCGAATGATGTAAGCGACACAGGTGTTCAATCCCATGCGCGTGTCAAACTGTTGATCACTCCTTATGGTTACGATGGTCAAGGATGTTTTTATTGTATTTTACAGGTATTTATGAAGATACATGTATATCTCCGAATTTCTGAACTAACTGGACACCAATCTCATTAAGTCTAAAATAAATAGAAATTTTATTTTTTTTTTCCGAGTAATCGAATATCAATTTTGTTAACCGATATTCGGACGTTCGATCGAGTACTCGGTTAACCGAGTACTAGTTGCAATCCCTAGTAAATACATAGCTAACATCCACGGTCTAACACAAAATTTCCTAACAGACCTAACAACGCAAAGTAGTTCTCACTCAAAACTGCTTAAAAACCAGCAATTTAAAAGACAGAATAATTTTTAATGTAGGCATTTAACGAATTAAAGTGCATTGAAAGTTCAGATTAGTCAATAGAAATATGAGGTTACAATCACAAATTTCGCGGATGAATATCATTTTAATCAATGAAAATGCTATTTTTAGCTATGTCGATTACTGAATACTCCAGGGCGTAGTACACAAATAAAACTGACTGCCGAGTAGTGGAATATATGCATGTCGGACTGTTTTGGCGAGAAGATTTTCGCTAAATTATTTTTATCAGTGTGAAACAGGTTTATCGTGAACAAAATACCTCGAAATTGATAAGGATTACAAACACGAAATGGAAATTCTCAATTTAGAATTACAATGTATTTGTTTTTATTCAGGCTACATATTACGTATTACTTCACCGTTGTGCAGGGGTATCGCGCTCGTATCGCGCTCGTTTAGGGTGTGAGAGGCCTAAGGTTCAAATCCTAGTCGAGGCAACTTTTTTTTTTGACGTGTCTTTTTTAAGGAAGTAGCCACGATATGCAAGAATAAAGTGTGGCTGTCTAGAAAAAATGATTTTTGATGCAACTCTAGTCATGCAAAATTCCATATGTATCGATCTCAAACTGTTATAGAAAAAAAATCTTAACGCAGTCGCTGCGTAAGATGAATTTTAGTATATAAAAATAAACTTATTTAGGAAAATACATACAGATAGTCAGTATGATTTAGATTGCAAAGATCAGAAAATACCACAAAGCTTGCAGCCCTTTGATTATATACGGTCTTAAAAGCTGGCAGGAATCTTTATAACGAATTACATCATAAATCGACTGAGCCGTGCATATAGATTATATATACTTCACGACTATCCAATGAATGAAGACGTTACAAACATGCAGTATTATAAATATCTATAATATATTATGAATGTTTAAAGAAATATTTAATTATTTGAAAAGAAGTTTTATTCTAGAAAATATGATTTTATAATTTTTACTTGACTTTATACTTACAATCCGTATAAACTCTGTCTGCAAAATAATAAATAAAATGTTTTAGAATTTTTGACAGCAGAAAATTTAGACTTTTGAGATATTTTACTATATTCACTAATAAAAAGAGCTTGCACCTTGCCTCATAATTCACAACAATAAATTGTCTATTAACAAAGGTAACATCAGAGGCTCGAGATGTAAACATTCTTTTTTACATTTAACATATATAAATATTTAACAGTATTAATGGTTAAAATAAAAATTTTCTCGCAATAACTTGTTTTCCAATTTGTTTTATAAATGAAACAAAACGAAAGTATACCAAAACAAACGTAAGTATCGTAGTAAACGTTGTAGTCATAGCCCCATGGAAGTCTGTATAGTAAATGACCGTTACAAGTTCTCATTTCCACAGTGACATTGCTAATGCATTCATCAGTGTGATTCCATATGCAAACTTCCGCGGTAATAACATCCTCGCCTATATCAGCCATATCCATGTGCTTCTCTGATATGTAAAAACAGATTGTATCATAATTTAGGAATCTTTCTTTGAAAATGTGTCAAAGTTAAAACGTAAACATATATACATGCTAATAGTACGTTATCTGGAATGCAGGTAGAAGTTACCAGCACTCCTGAGTATGCCCATTGATGTGCTCATTTTTTCTGAGGTTTACTTATTGTGACGACAGGAAAAAGGATAGCGGTAGAAATATCATATTCAGGTGATCGGTCGTTGGTTACTTTTCCTAGAGTTTTATATTGTGACAACAGGGAATGTGTTTTTATTTTTGCCTATGATACAAAAGAGAAATAACATCAAGTCACTCGGCAATCTTACTATACTCAGATAGCACTAAGTTCCGATGCTTTTAACAGTCGACAGCAGCTTGTAAACTTGCCTTAACAAGCTTTTTAATTTTGAAACGTTCTTGTTTGCAAATGAATCACGAATCAAGACATAGATAGCCTCACAGGGGCCAGCCAGAAATGTCGAGATATGAGATGAAATGACCATCCCAAGTCCGATTTACGGCTTGACGTCGATAGAATACCAGAGTATGGCCGACGGACACACATATACCAGTAAAACACGGGCACACCATTTAAGAACGACACATTCTTAAATTTGTGTCGAACTTGTTTTGTCCACAGAAGTAGCTGCGGTTCCGTGATTACGGTTATTCTGGCTAGCCAGAATAGCCGGAGATCGTAATTTGAAACTACATTATTACTATTATTATTATTGTTATTATTATTATTATTATTATTATTATTATTATTATAAACACAGGTTTAACTGGTCCAACTCTGGCTAGCCGGTTCAGCTGAAGTAGCCGGACTAGACAAAAATGTTCCTGCTACTCGGGCTGTTCTGGCTGCCTGGCTAACTTCATAATAACTTTCACAGATTTCCTTATCTCAAAATACAAATCTTAAGTTGCTATAACAACAAAGATAAATACTGGTATACGTTAATGATTTTTACGAAATAGCATTACAGAATCTCTGATACTATGAAATGATGCATATTTCGTATTTTCTCATACAAAAAAAAAAAAACAAACAAAAAACAACATGATAACAATTACCATTTAACACGGCAAAATAACTGTATGGCCATTTCGAGCAATTTGTGTTCATATTTTCCCTCCACGGAATTTGCACGCGACCTCCCCAAAATGAGCTATTGCCCCAGTCGTTATTGTAGATATCAACATACCAATTATGATACGCGTAGTTGCCAATATCATGCACGTAACCTAAGTTGTCACATGTTCCACTCCCTGTAATGACGTAGAATTATACAGTCATTTTATTTGATCAACAAAGGAAAATTTAAGCTGCAGTAAGAACAAAAATGGATTTAATACGAAAGTGTGTTCATGTTCGGAAATGATACAATACATTATCTTAAGATTTGCAAATTGGTGTACTGTAAAAGGGCGTCTGCATAGCGAAAATGCCTTACTGACTCAAATAGACACAAGAAAAGCATTGATGCAAAGCATCAAAGGGCGTCCAAGCAAGAATGCAGCAAGTGAAGATGAACTAGTACACATATGATGACAAGATATTCTTATAAACTACCAGAAATGTATACCACTTATGAATGAGCGGACGAAAGACATTGTTCATTATGAACTTTGATTAGCATGCTAGAGATTAGAATATTATACAAATATGGACTTTTTAGCTGTTGAATATGATGTGATATGTACTGAAAAAATTAATATTGACCGAGGCGATTGTTATTTCTTTATGATCGTGGTTATTAATAGCAACGGATATACATGTATGCAATCATTTATAATCCATAAGTGTAACGCATGATCAACACGTTTAAGTTAGTAAAAATATGACACTGGTTATATTACCATGTTGATAATGTTGAGCATAATTGTTTATTATACAATAATTGTAATATCTATTAATTTTAATTAAAAAAAAATACAAATTTTATGAATATTGTTTTCTTTTATTCTTTTTTGTGTTTTATGTGCTATTTTAATACTGAGTTTTTACTACTCTTTTTTATTAAAATTGTAAAATAAATTTTAAGAATTCAATTGTCATATTGACCGACGATTATAAGTCAAAGCTTAACTGGAAAAAGTCAGTAAATTATGGTTTATCTTTCAATATATAATATTGCTTATTCTTAAACCATGTACATGTACATTGTATTTTTCTTTATCATTTTTTAAATTATCGATCAACTGAATAATTCATAAAATCTAATTTGTAACTTTGAATAATTCCTCGGCATCTTTACTAAACACGGATAACAAATTGAATAATTAAATAAAATGTTTCAAAGTTGATAATGTCATTTTAATACCATAACAAATGTACCTTTTTCTCAATTATTGTACATATCACGAATTTATATTACATATAAATCCGTGTACATATTTATTGTTTTTATCTCATATAGATAAAATGAAACATGCTATTGTTGTTTTTTTCTAATTGTAACGATATCAAACATCTACTCCAAAACCGGGAGAGACCGGACAATAAACGTATGGTACTATTCGCCGGTCACTAGTAAATCCTGGTCAAAATAGACCGGGAGAGACCGGCAATTTACCGATAGGAGTGATAAATAGATATATCTATAAATAGGTTTTTGGAATATTTAGGTCATCAACTGATCATTCTAGGATACATGTACAACAATAACATACCATGACATGATAACCGACTGTGTACTACAAAATGAGAAATAAAAAACCCCGAAGAGCGCGATTTATTGACGGAAAAGGTTATTTCATTTGTAAATGTTTGCATTGCGAAAATTCATTGTAACATATCGCGACATTTCATTCTTATTTAATAATCAAGCACCCTCATACCGATCGGAATTTTCGGCTTTTATTATGACCGACTAAAAGGCTCGAGAAGTTGCTGTCGCCCTTTCACAAAATCTGATCTCATTCCATAAGAGCGCCGCGCTTCGGCGCGGACGCCAATCATTTGAGATAAATCAATATTTTACATACATGTCGCAGAAGTTACTGCAGCAGCAGTGGTAGTCAGAAAATCTGATGTGGAATCTGGTGTTATGTTTGCAGGTGAAGACAAGTCTGGCGTTTGGGAAGTTGATGTATGCTCCGTTGTGCGATCAGTTGTTGATAAGGCTTGATATAATCCTATAAATAGAAATGAGTTTGAAGTTTATATTATTCAACTAAAAAGATAATAATAAGTTAAAAATAACGTTTCCCATAATATGACTTTTCACTCATTCTATTACGATAGTTTGGGATTTAATTCTTGAACCGCCCGGTTTTATGTAACAGCAACGTTAGGGTAAGGGCATGATACTCCTCTCAGACGCGGTTAATTTAACTTATTATCTTAATTGTCAGAACATCCGAACTGTTCGCAATATCATACCAATTTTCAATGACAAAATTATGACATAAAATCATAAGAACATGTATACTGAAAAAAGTTCAAGTAATTTCTTTCAAGCCTCAGTTACTGTCATTAACTGAGCAAAGGGTTGGTATTTATTAGTGAAAATGCGTTTTCAATAACAAGACATGTTTTCAATTCTTTCCGTTTAATATTAACACTTACAAATAAAAAATTAAGACCAAATTTGTTTTCCCCATTGTATTAATATATCACATATTTAGATTGAATTTAAACGTAGAATTTATAGGCTATCAATATCGACACTACAAAATAAAAGAATTATTAAATATACATTGAAGAAATTCACTCACCTATTTTGAAGCAACAAACTATCAAAATAAAATATAAGCCATGGAAACTTTGCACTTTCCTTGACGACATTTTGTCTTAATGGTCCACTATGGCTTGGTAGTAATCTAGGCGTTTCAAACACTTATATATCTATCTCATAATTTATGGTCAAATACTGTCATCAGGGTTTTTATAGTTTCTACTTCACCTTTTAACGACATTTAAAGTTGGGTAACAAAAATGCATTCATAAATATAAAGTGTAAGAGGAACGAGAAACTGTATTTATTTAACCATGATCAAATGTTCATGTACACTTGTAGCGCCGATATATGTCCAAACGTCGAAAAATGTCCAACCGACGATAAATGTCCAAAAATTGACGATAAATGTCTCAATCGCCGATAAATGTCCAAAACTCCTTTAACGATAAATGTCCAAAAATTAACGAAAAATGTCGCAACAAAATAGGTGCTCATAAATGTCCAAATCGGTTAACGATAAATGTCTCAACTTTTCATATGTTAATTTGTAATTTATTGTATTGGATACTGTAACAGTCTATCCAACTAACCTGTGATTTTACCCTCTGGTTTACCCACCGTAGGGAACGTGTTACAGTAGCGCGTTTTTCAGTTACAGTATAGAATTTTCAAGATGGAGGATTATTTATGGTAAGAGAGGTAGGTGATTTTTATTCAGGTCCATACTACAAGTAGTTTAGTTTCTTAAAGATGTTTTTGCTTTGCTTGTAAGGAACAGAATCCGGTATCTAGTCATATATTTCTTCAGAGCCTGCACCGTATTTTTCTCCCATTCCGACATCATTTAAGCATGCCTAGATAAAGTAAATCTACAAAACGTTAGTCCTTTGTGTTTAGAAACGTTCATAAAAGTAAATGACCAGTTGAACCTATTTTCTTGTTGGTTAAATGCCTTTGAAAAAATAAACAATGTTACAGTATTCCATCTACCATAATGTATTTTGTTACGTTTGGCGTTCTTGGATTTTAAGTTTCAACGTCACTGAGGTCATGTGAAAACATTCCTGCTTTAGTGTTAAGACCCCAGATACCCTTTGTGAAACATTTCAGACACGAGCGGGCACCTGACTAGAACCACCAACCTTCCGTAAATTTATAGCTTGATAGATTCCCCACATACAAAGAACCCAAAGTCATGATTGGATTTCAACTACAGCAGTAAATGAAAGATGATTTGAAGTCGACGGCCTTATCCTGACTATGTCAATACTATGTACTTCCATCAGGCTCACTAGAGCAGATATTGTAATTGTCTGACCTTAACTTATACTCTATAACTTTCAATATTATTTTATTTTTCATAAACATGAAAACTGCTATACAGGATGTCTGAAATAAAAAAAACGACTTTTAATTTAAAAATGACAAAATAATCGTAACTTCAACAAAGAAGCATTCGAAATGACGCCATGATCATAATTTGATTTGAATGCTTTAGGTTCGAGATGAGAAGGGTCTTCAAACATTGCCTGTTTTCAAAATCTATGTTTTGGGTTTTCGTATCCCCGATTACAACCGAAACCATTTGAAAAACTTAATTGGCTGCGCCTCGGGGTAATATACAACTTCTCGGGTTGACAATATCCTTCTATCACCCCGACAGCCATATGCTATTAATTTTTTTTTTAATACATTTGGGTGACAAATTTTTAAAAAACCCAAAATTCCCTATAAATTTTAAACCCGGATTATGAAATGTCACGTGACCTATTATGATTTTTTAGCCCCGGGGGCCCAGAATTTTTACGCCGGCAGAGTATGGCCGGGAAAGGGGGATTAAAAAGGCCCTGAAATAAATAATTTTCCCTCGGGTGGAAGGGTCGGGGGCCAAATTTTTTTCATTTTGCGGGGGGATTTTTCCCCTTTCCCGGCCCTACTTTTGCCGGGATTAATCTCTTAAAAACCGAAAAAAAAACTTAGGTTCCCAAAAAAATTCAATTCAGATCAACACTTTAAAATTTCAGCGTTTTTGAAAAACTGTAAAAAAAAAAAATGTTAAAATTTATTTTAAAAAAGAAAAAACAAAGACAGACATATCGTTTTTTTCTTCATTAGAAAATAAATAACAACAACGAAATCAAATTATTATAATTAGTATTAATGGATGCAAAATTACAATTATTTTTAATCATCTATCTATAAATTTTCATATGTAGTATTTTTTATACACGTGCTGAACATGTACAAGCTTGTAACGGTTTCGGAACGAACTTTTCGCTTTTTCCACGTGGGATTCTTTGCTAAATAAAGATTTTTTATAAACTATTTAAATTGTATTAGTATGTATATTTTGCATTATGTCAACTGTTACTAAGGCATTATCGCTATTATGAATACAGAGTTATGTAAGAGTTATGTGCCCAAGGGTGATATAAGAAATATTCCCCGGGGAATATATTCTAGGAGGGTGATATTCGATCAGAACACATTGTAGGCCCTAAATGGGAGTTTTACGTTGAAGGATATATTTAGGAATAAAATATATATTTAACACATGATTTGTCGGGGTGATAGAGGATATTGTCAACACGAGAACTGGTATATTAACACCGAGGCGCAGCCGAGGGGTATTGCCAGTTCAAGGGTTGGCAATATCCCCTAATCACCCCGACAGCCATGTGTTATTTATTTTATTATAAACCGAAAAAAAAAAACTCTTAGGTCAGCAGTCCCTTTGCCTGAAAGAAAAAACAGATCATCACTTCACAATATAAGCGATTTTTGATTTGTAAATGTTCGATATACACAAAAATAATATAATGTATAATAGATAAAAAAGAGACAGACAGACAGACTAGGAAATAAAATTAATATTGTGCTAACTGGGTACCAAAAGGCATTATCGCTTTAATGAATGATTATGAAGAGTTTTTGTGCTCCAAGGTGAATAAGATTTATTCCCCGGGGGAATATATTCTAGGAGGGTGATTATCGATCAGAACACATTGTAGCCTATGGGAGTTTTTACATTGAAGGATATATTGAGGTATAATATAAATGTTTAAATGACACTATCATATTTGCAATTATAATGTTACTATTCGAATACTGTGTAATATTTATTTTAATCTGTTGACAAAAACTTAACATTTCTTCTCCATTCGAAAAAACGTTATTTTTGAAATCATTACAATTTGTCAATGAATAGTAGGTGTTTTGTATGTAACGTTATGTGATATATAATCGATATAATATGGTACCCCTGTGCATGCCCAGTGTCGTTGACGTTCAGCAATCATCAGAAGAGATTTCAAGAACACAATTCTATGGATATTCAAACGTACCAAATCTAAATGTAACAACCATTTTTGTACGTAAAGACAAATTCATCAACTGTTAAGAAAATTATTAGTTTATGTGCATCAAACTGAATAAATGAATATGGTAGAAAGAAATAAGCATACCTCTTTTTCTGTCCAAAATGTTTCACATTTTCAAGTTATATTAGTGTTCACTATTAATCAAACTGCGCTTTAGTCGTGAAAATAACTCAAAACCTGATTTAATACATTCTCAAAAAACGTAGAATAAATTAATTCGACTAGACTTCAGCAATTTGATGGTAGAAGCAAGAATATAATTTAAATATAGATGAATTATTATTGTACACAGACCACTTGCTCATTAGTCAACGTTTTATTCTGCAAATCATTTTCAAAAGTACATGTACAAATGATGTTCTGTATACCAAAACTCATATTTATGATACTTTTCAAATCAATACGTATCTTGAAATCCAATTGATATACATAATGATTTATGTAATTATTGTATATTTTATTGAACAGATCACCTATAACAGTGATTTGACGGGTGATTTGCTACTCAAACCTTCCTCGGGTAAGTCAAGGAAGACTTTCAAATATGAATACCAATTCTACACTTAAGTTCATTTTGACCAAGGCGTCCTCAATTCGTCCTTAAGGAAGCCTTTCCCGAGTTTGAGTGGAGGTTGAGTTCGAGTGACGACACTGAATATAGCTATAAGTGTAGAGTAGTGCAATGCAGATGTTAACAAGATATGTTTGTAAAACATGTATGCCCCCCTTTAACACAGCCAATTAATATTTATAAAATTAGATTTTTAAATGTGTAGTAAAAAATGCAATAGTAAATTTTGTTATGAAATACATGTATATCATTGGTCATGGGGCAGAACCAATTATGACCCATTGGGTCATGAATTGAGTAAACCCTGTAGTTGTCAATGAGACAATGTTACACACAAAATATTCTTCTAAAAACAATCCTTTTTCCTGGTGAGGTCCCTGGTGACTTATCTTTGACCTACTGGACCTCAAATCAATAGGGGTCATCTACTAGTCATGACCAACCTCCACACAAAGTTATGAGGACCATCAGCACAAAGCATTGTCTAAGTTATTGAGCGAAAATGGCATGGTCTACGGACCGCAGACCCGACCAGACGACCGACATGGGCAAAGCAATATACCCTCTTTTTCTTCGAAGGGGGGGGGGCATAAATAACTTATTTTATTTGAACTTTTTTATCGGGTTGGTTGCCCATATGACCCCAACGTCTCCCTGGAAGCATTGTAAGATAATTTTTTTTTCGGGGGGAAAATGAAAGAAAACAGAAGTTTCCCGAGGGAGGCGACCCTGGCTTTTTTTGCCCCGGGGTAAAGCAAACCCGTACAATGGGACCCCCGGTTTTTAAAAAAATTTTTTTCCCTTTAATAGTAAGGGGGATTGACTTTTTAAACCAAAAAATCAACTTTTTTTCAAAAACATTTTTTTAAAAATTTTTTAAAATCTCACAAAATCCCCCAGAATCCCGGGGGTCCCGGTTTGGGTTTACCCGGAACCGGAACCCAGGTACGGGCCGAACTCGGGCGGCCCAAAGGGCCCGGGGTGTCAAGGGGGTTGCCGGGGGGTCTGGGGATTGTCGGCAATCTATCTGACCACCGGGGCCCCTTTTCCCGGGGGCAACCGGACCCCTTTCCCACATCATCCGGGGCTGTGCTCGCATGGATCTCAGCTTTTATGATCTCATTGATCGAAGACTTAACAGCGTTTGAATACCGTGTTAGGTCATCCGTCGTCCACTTACTATCTGCATTATCCGTAGTTTCAACTGGACTTTGCATGCTGATGGCCCGGAGTTCATCCTGGTTGTTATAAGTATGGAAATTGGGTATATATCGCCGTAGTTTTTACCGGAGTTATTGAGACTGCAACAATATTTTCATCCCGGATCGTCTGGGGTGGTCCTGGCCTTTGCCGGGATG